ACGCGGATTTATCGAGCCATCCATAAATAATTATTAATCCGCCATTGCGATCGCCGAAGGTCTCGCGAAAAACTCGTTGTATAAACTAACATTTGTTTTAAGCGAAATACCTACACAATAAAAACCTGTGCATTAAAAATAACTGCACCCAAGAGAACAAACGAAGCCGAAAACAAAACCATATAACGATATATTAAAACCTACACGGAAACAAAGCACGCGGGAGACGTCCGGTAATGCTTCGTCCCACACAAAGAAACAACCGCATGGAGAGCTACTAACTCCTCATGCTCTTACAACCCATAAAGAAGACAAACTCTAATACGAAACAAAGGAATAATACACAAAACAGTTTAACAGTTGAGTTAGCTAAGGTGTCTAACGGATACTGCATTAACCTCAAAAATGATTGGTATTTTGCGCATCTACGGCATAAAACGGGTTTGTCAATGTTCCTTGTGACACGGAGCAGTTTTTTTTTTGTGAGGCTCTCTCACCCCGCGAGATGAAAATTCGTACGAACGTTCGAGGTTGGAGAGGAAGAAGAAATGAAAAAAAAAAAAGAAAAGAAAGGAAAGGAAAAGTCCGTCCTGTTTTTGCGGGGCCGCACAGTCAGCCGAGATGCACAAGCGAAGTCGAGGGAGGACGGGATTCGCCATCGTGACGGAATTCGCAGATCGAGAAAGTTCCGCCGTAACAGAAAGGAATTGGGCACGGTGGTGAGAAAAGCGGTAAAAGTCGGAGCAGCCGATCTGCCGAGCGGCCGCAACTCTCAAGAGATCGACCGTGTATTTAGCGACCAATTTGGCACGCAGTCGATCGCTACTCGAATTTTTCATCCCGGGCTCGTTTCGCACGATTCGTGTGGATTCTCCTCCGTGATCGAAGGTTCTCGTCAAGCAAACACTAAAACTCACAACCGGGGAAATTCAAAAGAGGGGAAAGACGTATTAGATGTTGGTTCAGTGTTTTCAGACGTGAAATAAATTACCCTAAGAGTGACTTCCATCTCTACCCGTTTGCAAAAGGAAATACCCAGAAGTTTTCTACGTTCTCGTTTTTTTTACTTATGGTGACATGAAAGTGATATATACATAACAAAAAGTCAAAATACTTATTATACACTTTTCTCCAAACTGGGCGAATTTTTCGGGGAGAAACGTCATTGCCAACCGAGAGTCGTATCACACGACTCACCGGGAACGATCTCTCGAGGTTTGGCTTCGATCTTAAATTCATCGATAAAAAGGGCATTTAAAAGAACGACACGATAATAAAAAAGGCAAGGCCCTTTGGGTCCTTCTTGAAGTAGTTTCTAGTTTCCTTCATTAATCGGGCTAATTCTTAATTCTTTCCTGGCACCCGCCTTTCTTTTCCTCCAGCACAGAGCTTATCTAGAGGACATAAACACGCGGTGGCTCTTTCTGGCTCTTTCAAAGAGAATCCGGAAACGATTGCAGGTGCGGCCTAATTTCCTGCTGCTTATACGGTCTGCCGCAACGACTAGTTTGCATATCAGCCTGCTTCTACGTAATCGCCAAGGCTGTTTCTACATCCATATCTTTAAGTATTACGATGCCACACATTTTGGCGTCTTAGCTCAGCAAAACTAGCGTTCCACTTCCGCAGTGGTCGCTTTGCATATGTAACCTGTATTCCCGCACGACGCGCAAGGACTGACTTTTTCTTTTCTTTTCCTGATTTTTCGGAATAAAATGTTTCGTGAAATTGTCAAAAGTTTACAACATTTTCAGCCACTTCTAAAAGAATCTTCCCATTCTTTTCAATTTACTTTCGTATATCAAAATTGACTTAAAGGTGATATGAAAGAGTCAGGAAAAATGATTAACAACTTATTTTTTCTATTTTTCTTTGTACGAGTTCTAGTTTTAAAACCAGCACGATTTATGTAATACCTTTATTCGCAAACTTATCACGATTGACGAGAACACCGCGATAAAAAATGTTGACCTTACCATGTAGGAGAGATTTTTTCTAACTTTATTGTAACGCGAGAAGCTTTGCAAATTATTACTGCTCTACATACGCTCTTACGCCGATGAGGTCTACGAAGGTTATCAACAATAATTTCTCGTAATAGAAATGGAACATTTTTATAAATAACATACAGACTGAATATTTTTTTAAGTTCTTTTCCAGCAAATATATCACGGCGTGTAATAAGCGCAGGTTTTAATAATATTTCTTACAAAATTTGTAATCAAATACTCCAGGGACGGATTTGATGAAATTTGCTTAATATATTTAAATCAGTTATTTCTGCCGCAGTAATCCCGTTAACGAGGTACAAGGGAAATCGTGAAGTTGCCTCGAGGTTGTGCTTCATAAAACCCGAAGAGTCGGCGAAACGAGTCTCTTGAACTTGAGTTTCCGATGAAAAGTCCCGAAAGCCGGAAATGAGGTCACTCGCCATGTGCAATGAAATGGTCGGAGGGTGGCATCCGGTATATTACCGCTCTTATGTGCCATATATCATATCGATTAACAAACTTACGACGGATACATTCCCCTCTATATATACTCTGCCAATCCGCGTAAAAAGTTAACCCCACTAAATTTCGTAAACACTAAATATAAAAATTGCACAAGGTTCGTAAATGAACATTTCTAAACGTTCAGTTTCAAACGTCTAAATAATGAAATTCATTTCGACGACACATTAAGGTGAAGTGAAACCCCCCAAATCGGTCGGCTCGAATAAGACACTTTTTTTTTTAAAGCTATGGAGGACTTTTTATCGACTCTATAGTCCCGATTGCCGCAAACGAGAGGGAACGTCCCGAGCACGCAGTCGTAAGCTCCTGCGCAGACAGGTGCAACTCGACGCAGAGTCGCGACAGCGACATAAGCCCATCTGCGGTTTCGCAGCGGTCGCAGCACGCCATGGTTGCGCCTCCACCTGTTCTTAATATCCATTGGCCGCAGTTTCTGACCGAAGAATATTTTTCAACGGGATCGTCGCGAATCGAGTCCTTTGTCGAGCCGCGAAGCGGCTTAATGCTCTCGGCGGGTCCGCCGTCACACGGTCTTGGCAGCGACCTAAGCTCCATCTGAGAATGCCGTCTCGGCTCGTAAAAGGACAACGTCGCGCCCTTTTCCCTGAAATCTCTTCGGCCGACGTCGAGTCACGACAGCTACCTAATGCGATTCGCGGTTTTACGCGATGGTGGGGAAACTTTTTTTCCACTCGGTCGAGCGCACTTCCCGTCGGACTTTGGTGCGAGTAAAAACCCTGATAATGACCATACTATACGTACGTAAATGGATGGGCGCATAGAACGGAGCGAGTCCTAACAGCGACCCGTTTTGCCCCTCGTAAACGCTCCCTTGTTATACATATATCGCTCTAGAGAGCATTTATTTTCGACGCTCTCGAGCTAATCGCCGTCGACATAATTTTACCACTAAATGGGGATAGCTATAAGATTAAAGAGAGAGAGAGAGATGAAGAGGGGAAGAGAGGAAACGTATAATTTTCTCTTTTTTAAATTTTATCCACAATTGCGGCTGTTTCGCTGTGACCCTGTAGTACGACTCGCTTTCAACATTTTTCTTCCTAGAATGATGAAATTCTTACCATTCGGCACAGTGAAATAGACGATGAAGTATCTACACTGTTAAAAAAATTCATACACTTTTAGTGCATATGGGTGCAGTAAAATTATAAATCTGATGTTCGAAAGTCATTTGGTACGCATTGTTTGCAAGTCATTTAGATGAGTCTAATTTTACGATCGTTTACGTAAGTTTATTTTTAAACATTATACATGAATTTATAAATTTATTACACGTATGCGCTAAATTTGTAATATATGCTATACATTTTATTTGAAAATACGTTATAAAATTATTATATTTTTTTTAACAGTGTAACTCTGAAATTACCGAGAGTCGATATAGTAAGGGAGCGAGTCTCGACAACGACTTTAAGCCATCTGCGGTTTCGTGCGACTCGCCGTCGTTGCCGCCACCTGACCGTATTCCTAGCGGAGCTCGACTCCCCTCGCGGCTTCGCTCGTACTTGTCCCCGTACCGGTACGTACCGATCCGACCCTGTTCGCATCGGACGTCAGTATAGACCTTAGATTTACGTTAATTCCCCACCGAAGGTAGAAGAAACGCCCGAAGATACGCGACTCCGTTACCAATCGCGGACGATGCGTTCCACGCCCTGATCCATACCCTATAAAATATATTCATAAAATTAATACACTTTTAGTACATAAGGCTGCGGTAGAACTGTTTAAGGTGATATGACATTTCATTTGAAAATACCTTATAAAATTACTATACCGTGTCTGAATAAAACTTCCAACGAAAATGTTATAAAATTATTATGTTTTTTTTTAACGGTGAAGCACGTGGGGTTTTCTTTACGTCGCGATGGGTTACGTCCAAAGGATGGCTCGATTGCAAGTCCGCGCGAAAATCAGGAACTTGCTTTTTCACGATAACGTTTGATGTGTGACAGTCGATGGCCGATACGCGATATCTGATATTTATCGTTCGAGGACACTCAATACGCTCGGTTAGTTGCTATGAAAGCGTGCGGTCGACGATCCTTGCGGTTCTTATTGGATTTCATATCGGGAGAGATCACGGGATAAATTCACTTTCGCGAGTGCGCGAGATCGATGGATCGGCAATTTCTAACCTAACAATAAGAGCGACAGGACTTTCGGAGATAAGCCTAACTTTGTAACTTCATTTCCTTATTCCCACAACTGTGAGAATAAATTGATTTTTGGAATTAGTAAATTTTAAATGTACATTCTACTTATCGTAAGATGGCGCTGTCCGACATTTATTGTGTAAAATATTCGATATACCTTACGATACGTTCTTTTTTGTCGCATATCGTGCCTGTATCGATGAAGCTTAAGTAGAGATATTAATCGAAATGATATTATTTAAGTAGAAATGTTAAATAAAAGGTACTCATCGAAATGCGTTAACGTGAAATGATTTTTTGTTTCCAGCTTCGAGGAGACGTCGATGGACAGCAGTCCTTTGGCTACGGTGACGGAAGGTCGAGTGAGCGACTCCTGCGGCGAGCCGATCAAGGACTGCGACGTGGAAGTCACATCCTTGGAGGAGGCGAAGTCAGTGATAGCGGCCCTCAGATCGAGACAAAGGGCGCAGGCGCACCAAATGCTGGCCTGGAGAAGGACGCTCAAGTTGCAGGTGAGAATGAGCTCGTTTGCGAAGCTGCCGGAAGTCGAGGCACCACAGGGTTCCAAAAATGATTCTTTACCGTCTGATCTCGATACGACAGTTTTTTTCTTCCTCTTTTCGCGAGGTCCTGCCTTTTATTCTTCCAAGGAATTCAAATGCGAACCGCATTTGCGTGGAAATAGGCGGCGGAAAGTGGGGTCGAAAATTCGTGAAAATTGAACCGACTGGATTTCCGCGAAGCCCAGACCCGTTAGCGCGGATAGACCGTTTAATATTAATTTCAAAGAGTCGCGGCTCGGACGCGCGACGGCCGCGTAAAGAAGAGGAAACGAAGGAAAAAGGAAATACGGAAAAGAGGAGGCCGGCTCTCGCTCGAACCGGGTTAGTTTTATTCATAAGCGGTCCCTCGCCGCACAATCGACGGCTCGCGGGAGCGACGCGCTTTCCCAGCCAGCCATTTATGCGAGACAATGCAGGAATAATGGGCTCCTTATAGGAAGAGAGCCTATGCCCGGTCCGCTCATGCAAAACAGGCCGGATGTTGCGTTCTGGGACCGGTGCGATGAATAACGATGCGGAGCTGCTTTACCGACATCGCACGCTACTTCGCCACTTGCACTCTCGATACATAGATGTCGTAAAATACCGATCAAGGTGGAGGTTTTTTTATCCTCTTCGAAGAAAAACTTGGAAAATAATCTCGCCGTCTCGCGTCGGAACCCACAATGAATACGTACTTTGTCTCGTTACGGTTTAGCAGAATAGCAAAATTGTGATAGGATATTTTCATAAGAAAACCTGATAAATAATCTGCGCATTCTTTTCCGAGGCCCGCGATCAAGGTGAACGAATATCAATAATATGGCAGAATTAACTTATGGGTGTGGCGTCCCATATATTATTTTAACTTTCGATGCATTTCCGCTAAAGGATACGGCTATCGATCAAAATTATTAACATTCTGCAAGAAGGGCGAAACTGTCCAACCGTGGCGAACGCCTTTACTTTTCTCGTAGTCGGGGATTTTCTTTCCTTCTTTTAGAGATCCATTCGAATGTATAACGGAATTGCTTTGAAATAAGCCAGACCTGTTTATTCAGGTGAAGAGATAAATATAGAACGTTTGCAAAACAGTCTCCACAGTCTCTTCGCAGTTTTATCTCCGGATTTGAGTCACGGAGGATCAACGTTGAGTTCCACGTTGCATTAAAAATCAATTTTTTAAATTCTTCGTTTTTTACCATAATTGATACATTCCAATTTTATTTTATCGACGTCGATTAAATTTCTCAGCGCCTTCGATATCACCTTAAGGGTACTTAAATTCATTCCAGGAGGACCTGGTCGGCCGACTAACGCGGGAGAAGGCCGAGCAACTGCGAACCCTTTCGTCGCAACTGCTTCTCTTCGAGTCGCGACTCTGCCGGAAGCAAAAAGAGATCGAAGCTAGCCTGGCCCAGAGAGAGGCCATCATTCTGAGGCAACAGCGAGTGATTCGCCAGCTACAGAGCAGACTAGCGGAGAGGACCACCAGTACCAGGGACTCGCCCCCGTGCGACGCTCTCGATAGACTGGACAGCCTGGGCGACAGCGACAGTGCCGTCGTCCTCGAGGAATCGACCGACGACCCGGCTCCTCCACGGTACTCCATCGACTTCCGAAAACTGTTTTTTCCTCCCATGGCTGGTTCCGGAAGGGATTATAGCGAAGTGAAACCCCCCTCAAATCAGTCGATTCGTATTAAACACTTTTTTTAATAAGTGTTATAAATATTTTAATGTTTCATATATATAGTCCCTTTCATACCGTAATTCTCGTAACGGCATCCTAGAGGCGGTTCTTGTTTCATTGTCTTACAGAAGAATTTATAACTATTATCCCTATCGCCACCATTCGCGTTTTTGATATAATTGCTAACATTTAATGTATGTAATGGTGGGTCTAATTTATGCCGACGAATTGCAGATTCCGATCGAACATCACCGACGTGACCGTAATTCGGTCCGTCTCCGATGCCGTCGACCCCTCCAACAAATACACCTCGATAAGGAGGTGCAATGGGTTCCTCAGGCGACCGGAAATCTTGGAGACGGTGTACTCCGTGGAAGAGGACGCCGACAGCGAAAACAATCAGGACCCTTCGGAATCGACGGAGAACTCGGAGTATGAGAGTAGGAAAAGTAAATGCCCGGGTCCGGGCAAAGGCAGACTTCAGGATCTCTACGGCAGCTTTGAGCGACTCGCCCAGGAAACGGATTCCCAGCACAGCGAAAGGCCTAAAGACGAGAGTCAACAGGCGCAGGTCTGGCCGACTTCCCAGCATTTTTCCCTCGACACGCGGTGTCGAAAATGACGAAACGTCAAAAATTAAATTCCCCACCAAACAGACTATGTTACAATTACATAACACTGGAATAGCATGATATGTAACGAATGTTATTCAAAAGAGCTTTCTCGTCATTTTCGCCACTGTGCGACAGCGCAGCCTTCATTAGGAAATTTTCTCGTGGAAATTACTACAAATCATCTTTATTAAAATTGTATATCTTAATAATTCATAAAATTCACTAATCTTTCTTTGAATAGATGAGGTCATAAAACGTCTCGCATCGTATACAAGGCTCCTTCTTAAGAGCTGTATGACCTTAATTCGTAAAACTCTGCTCGGTTTGCAAGTGCACATAAAGCGTCCTGCATTTTTTACCGTGTCCCTTTATTACACCCTGAAAAGAACCAGCAAGTCGTCGTCGGCTTCTTTCCTAACATTTATTTCACTTTTCTTTTCATTTCCCCCAGACATTTGCTTTAATAATCACTGAGAAAATTTCCTTAAGTACGAAATAATACGATAATGACAATAATTATAACATCGTTGGCAAACCGCAGATCGCTTAAATACTTTGTTTGTTCCAGGTGACCTATAACAGGGTAATGAGTAATCACAGATCAGTCACGAAACCAAAAGACGTTAAGTACAAGAGAATAAACAAGGCGAAGTCAAAAAGCCTGGAGGAATTGCGAGGACGGCTGAAAAACTGGGTGGAAAAGGGGAACAAGATAGCTATATCACTGGATCAATCGTATGCCTGAAAGAAAGAGAAAAAATAGAAAGTACACCTATATATAAATAAATTACAAACACACACACACAAATTATTTTTGTCAAGCGGACGTTGGGAGGTTCGCTGTGGTTATCGAATAGCTGTTTTAATTGTAGCATAAAGGAACTCGTCACCAAGAGATGATCCCCCGATTTGGACAGGATTAATATATACATTTTCAATTGCTCTGTGTGATATTTATTGTAGTTATCTCAACGTGATCGCGCGCCTAGGAGAATGTTTTTTGTGGCGAGAAGAGCATGCGCATGTGATATGACTCTTCTCATCCGCAGAGGTCCAGTTGAACGGTGATATTGTTCTTCACTTTAAGAAAAAGCAAAAGGAAAATGTATTTTCGTCATTACACGTCGATGTGTCACGTACAGACTTAGGTACCTGCTTGAAATGATTTTATTTATAATTCTCTGTAAAAGGATATTCATCGGCGCTTTCCAATCGTTAATTATTGCACGCCTGTTCTCGATAGGTCTCCCCGTAATTAATTGCCAGCTATCCCGATAATGTTGATCAAGTATAAAGTTCTTTGAATGTATATCAGAAAAGTACTTTAATTAGTTCTTTTTTTCAATTCAAAGTGCTCAATGCTTCATTAGCATTTCAGAAACTTTAATTAAAAAAAAAAAGAAGCGGAGTTCCGGTCGATTGCAGATGTACACTAATTCGTAATTAAAAATGCATCGGTAACTTCGTGAGTAAGAAAAGTATGAATTGAAACTCCTTCAAGTAGTTACCCAAGTCATGTACCCTTTTTGGTCTGGATGTTATCCGTTTCAGGCGTATATGTGCCGCCGAATTGTCGTTTTTATAACACATGATTGAAAGTCATACCAAAACATGCTCCACGTTGGAAGATGATCGCGAAAATGACATTCGAGACAGACATTGAAAACCTCCGTGCTCTTGAATAATTATCTAGGTGGTCCGCTTCCTGGACTATCATTCAAAATGCCCGAACCTTTGATTACCCTTTCTCGAATTTGATTTCGCGATAGAGTCATTCCATTGCGAGGAGCATCACGCTGCACTTATTAACTGGTAAATCCCTTTCGTAAATTATAATTATATTACGAGGTCGGGCAACCGATGACGACACAATCCAGAAAGAGCCTAAACTTTCGCAAAGTGAGAGTTCTCAGTGTAGGTTTCTAACTAGAGCTCAATTTTTAAGCCATTTTCCCCATCGTCGCCATAAGGAACGAGCCTCGGCATCGCGTCCCAAATTGCGAGTTATTTTCCTTTTTTCTTTTTTCTACGGCATTTACATAATTAATGCGTAACTCGACTATCTCCACGTTCTTCCCTTGTGGAGAATAAATGTATTCCGTAGAGAAGCTCTACGTAAAACCGTATGTGATGTTTCCGCATTTGTTCTTGCTACGAAGGCGAGACGTGTCGGGCTCGGAAATTTGTATGGATTTTGCGGAAGGTATTCGTAAAAAAAATCGGCACGTATTCCGTTTCATTTAAGTAAATTAGCGGCCCAAAGCCTGATACTTTGTGGTTTCGCCAAGCGACCCTGTTGGATGAACCTTGAAAGTCAGTGCACATACCGTGCTCTAGATTCAAAATGAAAAAAATTCAAGACCTAAGGTCTATTAATCAAAACAGCCTCCCATATGCGTAGCATGTACTGCACTCTTCAATGTGGAACATCTCAAAATTGGATGTTGGATGAACCTTGAAAGTCGGTGCACATGGTGCGGTTCTAGATTCAAAATGAAAAAATTCATCTAAGGTCTATTAATCAAAACAGCCTCCCATATGCATTGCATGTACTGCATTATTAAATGCGGAACATATGAAAATTTCATCGGAATCCCCAATTCGATCATCGTAGATCTCCCTCGGCAAGAAGCCACTTTTACAAAGTAATGAGCTTTCGGGACCGGATGTAAACTGAGGCCGAGTTATGATATACCGTGACAATCTGCATTTTTGCGAAAGGAAGGGAGTCCCTTCGCTCTTTTTTGTAAATAATATATACTACGACCTAGGGTTAAGGTTAATTTAAATCGCGATTCCTTAATGTTTGTGTAGATAGCTGCGTTATGAAAACAAAAATTATATTCTTAAATGACTTTTATGTTCCTGTGGGCTGGACAGCAGCCATCGAGCGATCTCTTGCATAATGTACACATACGCGCGCGTGCATACATATAAATATATAAATATATATATATACAAAAATATGCGTATAAATATTAATGAAGAATATATTGTACTCAAATCTAATTACGATCTTGGAGAATAAAGGCATTTGAAATGTGACCTGTTACACGACGTGAAAAAGCTCGCTTTATCGACTGCTTGTTTAAGTTGGGCATCGAGAAAGAGGCGCCTCAGATTACCGTAATTTGTATGAAATCGCATTGAATGTACTCCGTTGCTTCATTAGCAAATCCGTAGACTGCTGCCAATATTAATAATTAATTATATCATTTCAACTATTATTAAGCTATGAGAATAAATTATAGTACCGGAAATAAATTTTTAATCTCTGCGATGACTCTCCATTTGCCTACCAAACATTATACGCGGATAGAGTGATAAATAATTCATGCGTGTCGTGAATCATTGAAATATATTGCGATGAAAACAAATATAGGGGAATAGAAAAAGAGATTAAAGTTAAAGCCAAGTAAAAATCGGAGCAAAAATATTTGTGGATTTCTTTATAATTATTGTACGGAAATGACACACGAAGTATGCTATTTAGTACAATACCCAATATATTTGGACACAGCTGTCAATTCAAACATGAACGTTAATAACGTAGATATTTAGAAGAGTCGTTTTTACCGACATCGATCGAATTTCTCGACGTGTTTCACTCCACCTTAAACATATAATATTTTACCCAAATAACACAAAAGTCACTCAGACCTTCATGTCGGGTTTTATTGAGCATTTAAAAAACCTATATAAGTTCATTTTAACAATGCATCTCCAATTGGTTCCGAAGCATGCATGCCATGAATTGGTAATTACAAACTACCATTTGGTAATGCAGGAATTACTTAGTTGATCGCACTTACTTCGTCCTATTATGTTAAGTTAACCCACTGAAGTCCACTGCATTATATAAATGCATAAAAATTCCCTGACTTATTTTAAGAACTAGCATTACTGCTTCCGGTCATTGATCTATGATCTTCAGCATTTCATTGACGTCAACTATCTTCTCCCTCGCTTTTCCCAATTTTTTCCCTCTCTCTATCTCTACCTTATCAATCTTTTCCCAGTCCTCGTAGGACACAGTTCGCACACCTTTCTCGTTAAGAATTTCAGAAATCTTGTTCCATCCAGGCCTGCTTTCCTCTGTATTGAGCTCTTTGCAAATTCGCTGGGCCACTTGGAAGGCGTTCGTCATCGTGGTCAAAATGACTCCAACGGGCCCGGTGGCTAACCAACCGGCTGTGTAAAGATTGTCGCCGACTTTCCCGGCATCGTTTACCGCCCGACCACTCTTAGCATCGAATGGCAGATCTTCGTCTATCAATGTGGACTTGTAACCTATGCTCCTAAATGCGAGTCCACAGGATATTTCCTCGAATTCCCCCGTAGGCTTGGCCACTTGTTTCAGTACATCGTCACCTTCCAAACGATTAACGGAGAGCTTCACTGCCTCCACGGAATCTACTCCAAAGAACTCAACTGGGCTTCGCAGAAATACAGGACGAATCTCTTTATCGTGTCCATTCGACGAGTTAGCCGAACTTTCGTCCAATGAATTCAACATGAGTTCGGTTAACCGTTTTCTTGGCCTCGCTAGATTAGGGACAATTTCTCTTACCCCTGTGAAATCACTCGTGCGCCACAACATTTTGCACTTCTCGAGGTTTATCAGCTCTCGCAGCTCGGCGATCGTGAAGGCTACTTGCAGCGGTCCTCTTCGGCCAATTATCCAGATTTTTCGAACTTTGCTACGGGATAATTCTTCTAGAGCGTACGCCGTGATGTCAGTCTTCTAGGACAATCGACTGTATCAGTGAATAAAATTAACAATATGGGATGCACCGCATTCAAGTTCCAGCTCTTACGAAATTTTCAAACATAAGATCTCGTCAAAGATTCAACGAAATTGTAAAATTAAGGTTTGGATATTGTAAGTCAATCTACAAAGAGTTTAAGGTGAAGTGAAAACCCTCTCAAATCGGTCGATTCTTATAATTCGACGCAGATGTCAATATAAAAACGAAAGTCGGCAACGGAGGTATTTAGAGAAACCCTTCTTACCGACGTCGACGTGTTTCACTTCACCTTAATTTGAATCTCACAATTGACTGACTTTTGCACAAAAGGTAGTGCAGCGTATACTTCGTCGAATCTTGAGACATCCCGGAAAGCAAAAAGATGTGAATAAACAGTGCTCTATGATACAAACGGTAAACCTTTATTCTATCTATCGGTGCCGCCAGGATCCTAGCCACATCGATGGCCACATTCCCTTGTCCTAAAATTGCGACTTCCTCGACATCCAAATTGACTTTAAGCTCTCGGTCAGACGGTACTCCATTATACCAACCCACGAAACGCCGTGCAGAGATTACGTTTCCCAGATTCTCCCCAGGAATTCCCAAAGTCTTGTCTTGTTCGGCACCATAACTCTATAACGTCAGGATCATTGAATGAAATAGAATCTTCAGCAAGAGGAATATTAAATGAAGACATATACTAAATTATACTGCTAAGGAATCACCAGGAACAAGAATGAGTTTAAAACAAAGACATACCAGGAGGACTGCGTGATAGTTCTCCTTAAGTTGCCTGATTGTCACATCTTGACCAACTTTAACGTTTCCTATAAATCGAACACGCCGATCCTTTGCCACTTTATGAAAGGTGTTGATCACATTTTTAACTTCCGGATGATCCGGTGCAACTCCAAAACGTACCAAACCAAATGGTACTGGTAGCCTTTCCAATATATCAACTTCCACGTCGCTTAGAGTCTAGACAGAAAAATTCACAAGCACCTCTCAACAATTGATACTGGTATAGCCCCTCATTAAAAGATAATCGAAAACTTTTTTACTGCTAGGAAAGATCATACCGACATTGGAATTGGCAGTAAATGTTGAGCACTACCTTAATTAACTTCTGCGCAGCATAAAAGCCAGCCGGGCCTGAACCGACAATGCATACCCGAGGAACAACTGCACCAGTGGAAAAGCTTCGAGCACAGCATTTCAAAAGAGCCCTCGATCTCATCGCAGAAGTGGACACTGATCTAGAAAACGTACCGTACTTTCAGAATTTCAAGAAGTACTAGCCGAGGTGTTTCATGCCGACAAAGTTTCCCAGTATCGATGACACTTCGCGCTCTCTTTTACTATTCCTCACATCCGAATAGAACTGCAGTGGACCTTATTCTTACATGGAGATTTAGGTCAACACGCAATGAATTAAACATCGTTAATCTTGCCTGGGGATATACGCGCGAGGTCAGCAAAGGTTTCTCTGTTTGGTTAAAATAAAATCCTACTTTTCATTCGAGTTAAACAAACCGAAGCTTCCCTGTTAACATTCCACTGTAGTAATTACAATAATTCATTGATCATTAGTGTTCGATTACTCTTTAAATTATTTAAAGGAATTCCGAAAAGGACCATCCATCGAAAGGTTTCGATGAAACCACGCAGGAATTAAATAAAATATATAAATAGTAAACTATTGATGGGGAATGAAAACATAAATTTAAAAAGAATATACTATTTCTGCTAGATGGACCTTGAAAAAGAGAAATTGCTTTGAAAATCCGAATATACAAGATATCTTATTTCTAGCGGAAGCTGAAGACTTTCTTAAGTGTGATTTATTGTATTTACGTGTGAATGGGTACAAAATACTGATTCTTATAGGAATCCATCTGTGGAAGAAGTCGAATCATTCTTAGAATCATTTGCCGTGCGACAATTATCATTTGTGGAGACATTAGCAATGTTATTGACGATACACTTGATAATCCAGTGATTAAATTCCACAATACTGGGATGAAAGGTTGAGTCTAAAAAAAGACAATTTACAGATAATGATTTCACATCACTTTGTTAATTTTTTTAATTTCACTTCTGTATCTCTTACCGTGCAACATCGTCAATGGAAGCACAGATAACACCACTTTTTCCTCACATCTTGCGATATCTGCAGTTTCTTTTATTGCTTTCAAGCATCTCAGCACATTTCCATCGGTTACGTTACACTTTAACATTACAATGCATCCCAATTCACTATCGGCGATTAATTCAACACTCTGAAACGTTTGATTAAGGAAATATAGTAGACCGATGTTTAATTGTATCAATAATGAGTACCCAAATAGAATTAGGCTCTTTCCGTTTTCAAGATTCGCCAATTCATTGTATATTTTGGTAATTGTATCGTAACTTTTCAATGCATCGTTGTATTGAAAATAGAGAAACTCATAATTTGTTGTTTCTTTGCTTTGTAATTCCGTTTTAAACTTTGTCATGCTATCATCGGTGGGTAATTGCACGTGATTACATAATTTACTCTTGATGTCAAGTGCATCATTCAATATTTGTAGGATTCGTTCGCTACAAAACTTTGATGTTCTTGCTCTAGGAAATGGTTTTGCCAAAGCTATTTTCAAGTCTCCGGTAGCATCATTTAACTGAAATTACAAAGACATTCACGTGGAAAAAAGATAGAATAGAAGTACTGCAGCTTTTATCTTCATTCATTTAAATACTTAAAAATGAAGTAAAAATATGCTCACTTTAGGTAAATGTAATGATGCTGGAGCTTGAATGACTTCTAGTTCATTTGCCAGACATTCGAGGTGATGCAATGGCTCTAGATCATTTCTTTTACAACGTTCATTATACGAATTGTCTGGTGTTACCATGTATAGATTAGTACATCTAGTATCAGCAAGTTTCGACTTTCCAACGATTTCTAAATCTTCCGATTCTATTTTTCTCAAATTACAAACTTGCAGATATCTTTTAGCTACAGCATGCCGTAACCTCTGATCTTTGTAATTAGTTTCATTTCTTGATTTTGAATTAAAAGAGCTTATATTATTCAATATAATGTTGCACTGCATCGTTTTGAAAAATTGTCCGCAAGATATCATTTGGTTAATAAAATTCCTTGGTATGTCACTTTGAGAAAACATAGCAGCATTCGATCTAACTGCATAATACTTCCTTAGTAATGCTTGATAAGGTTTTATATGTTCAGAACCTTTAAATCCTAAGCATATCAAATAAATTTCCGAATTACCTTCCTTACTTGTAACTGGCTTGTTTACAATGACTTCATTAAAGAAACAACTAAGAAGGTAAACAAGACACAGAGCTTCGTACTCAAAAATCGTAAACATTTTTAACAAAAAATTACCACCTATCTGTAGGAGATGCATTGCAGCGATTGCTTCGCAATAATGAAGATGTGCGACTACAGATTCTTGTTCTGCCGGAGTGTTCATACAATCTATGCTGCCGTCAGCAGTGACTAATAATACTTTTCCTTTACTCTTTGAAACGTTTACTAGAGAGTCTAAATTTTTCAAATCCATAAGATTTCCAGTATTGTCAGCTCCAAAACACCAGTGATTTAGAGTATGCGCGATGAGACGGTCATCATCGATCATACGAGACAAGGAATTTCCTTCATAATAAGGATTCAAAGATGTAGCCACCCAATCCCACTGTATCGTGGGAAAATTTAACATCAGCCAATGATTTAAGGCTGCAACAAATGCACCAGGTGCCTCGCACAAATGGACAGATACCAGTTCACCCGAGGAAATTGCTGCACTAGGTATTAATGAAAATGATGATATGGTCTCGTAAAATTTGCACCATGCTTGTGTCAACAATTCAGGATTAATATATTTACGAACGTAAAAAAACACTTCTCCTGCACGATTTTTCTGCTTTGTATGTTGATGCCATTCTAGTAAACTGTAATCATTTAGCTTACTTTTTATTTCATTTAATTCAGTTTTTAATTGCTGTAATTCATCCACTTGCCAAGGATCTTGTTGGAACATACGCTCAGGCTGAGGCATGCAAAATTGCTCATCTTTCTTTATTACAAAACGTTTTTGAAACAGCTCATCGACCACTGCATTCATACCTTTATATGAATTATTAAATCTATCGACTTCAGAGAATTTTCGCTTTTGTCCTTCTGAGCATAATTTCTTTTTTTTTGTACTCTCTGCTCCTTCCATTTTTGACAGCAATGTCAGTAAGATTATTGTTAATGAGATAATTCTTTCATAATTTACAATGTTATTTTTCCTGACAAGGATGCTTCCACAAAAACTGTATACTTTAAAAAAATCGTACTCTACATGTTAAGTATTCTGTGACTGGACTTTAAACTTCTGACAGTTAAATAATTTTGTACATATGAGTAAAAATCTCAAATTACTTTATATTTGTAACAGAAGGCCACTGTACCTTAAAAATTACAGACTGTGTTAAGTCGAAAACATCGTAATGTTCACCTTTAACCTAAAATGCAATAATATGTATCAAAACTTTCCCGTAGATTACAAAAAGTATAATCGAAATGGGAGTCGGCATGTTACCTCGGCTTGTTAATAAATCATAACAAATTTGATTAAAAATAAAGTATCCTCACCTTCCTAGAAACGAAGGAAATAGAATGAATTACTGTTAAATGAGAATAATCATTCTCAAATGCTCAGGATAAAATACGTTTAAGGTTAAGGAAAATTTTATAACGCAGGGTACAGTCTCCTTTCATTTGTGGTCAAGATCTCAAAGTAATTTCATCTCTAGTAACTGCTTTCAATACTACTTCGGTAATTGAATATAACTGAATAAGGAAAATAACTCAAAATAACACTGTACCGATGAACTGGACATCCATGAGCCACCAACCAGGGGACGGAATCTTTAACGATGAGTTAGGAGATTGTTTACGGGCTGGACCGCGCGATCGTGTTCTGTGCTGCCCTCAGTGTAGAATGCAAGCGGCTCATGCAGTTACACCCAACAGCGGCTCAACTGCAATCTGCGTATTTATTAATGCAATGGAGACGTAAGATTTACTGGATCCTGATCCATTAAATCCTAGATTTAGGAGTGCGTAGGTTTAGTATTAACAATATCTTTTTTATTTCTTATACAAAGTAGATATACTATAATTAATCCATATCCATATGTATAATCTAATAAATGCACATGTATAAATATAATCTATTTTGTCGTTATCTTTATCGAGAATTATTATAGATAGGTACTGCTGTAAAAAAAAATACACTTCAAGCAACCCTGAATTTATCGTAAGTTCTTGTGCTTAGGTGGGACAAGATGTTTGATAACTACAGGTAAATGCTGAAGCTTTTCTCTAACAGCTGAAGGCACGTCCAAATTTTGATGACAATCCTGATTGTACCTTGCAATAGACCCGTTACCATTTTCGTACAAAATACCGCCACCGTAGCTCTGGGGACTTACCTACAATAAATTATTTATATAGAAAACAAGTACTATTAACAAGAAATTATAAATAATCATGAATAATGGACTAATAGACTGTAGAATGTTAATAAACAGTGAACAAAATAATCAATACTAATACAAGACTCAAAATTGCATGGAAATCTTACGGTGAGAGTAGATCCATCTTTGTACTCGACTTTAACATCCCCGGATGGTAGCTGACAAGCTATTCCAATTCCTGGAACTGTTACTTTATTTGTATTATAGGTAGACACTCGTACAGAATTAGATCTCCGTGACCGAGAAGCCACCGTCGATACCATGGAACAGGTAGTTTCAAAAGACGGCATCTAAAAACAGTACATGTGAATGATTATGCACTCAAATATAATGTAATACAGCTTTATCAATTTTCTAATGTTGTTGATTCTCTTCTTGTAAAACAAATTATCTTAACGTTCTCAATTTTCTTACCATACAATCATCGTTAACTTACAATCGGTGGATTATTTGTTGCCTGAGGCATATTTTCTTTTCCTTGCGAACAAGGTGCATCATTCAGAGCCGCCGTTGGCCTTCGTCCAATGATAGCCGGGAAATATGAATAACCTGTAGCTGACTCCAGGGACATTAATGTAGATTCTAATACCAAACACCGTTGATAACATTGTGTATAATGCTCATAAAATTCTTCCAGTACTGGAGGGTAGTCGTTCTCCTCATAAGTGGGACCGCCGTCTTTGTCAAATATCTTCACCATACTATCAGTACGTACTATCTGCAATGCAATCCACAGGAATGAATTAACTGTAACCGTGCTGTGTATTTTGTAATGTAACCATTCTATGTATACCTTAATTCCGTTATAGAAATGTACTTCGCAGTCAGGATGCGGACCGTTTTCCATAAAGAGACATTTAGCTCGGAGAGTATACACTGTAAGTTTTGGTGTCTTCGCCTTGACAAGTTTTATGAAACGTGCAGCGTAGATATATTTCCGATGATGACGGAACGGTAAGCTCTCGTAAGAATGTATACTATCTGCGCCCCGAGCTGGTAAAGGTGGTGGTTGCAGATCAACTGACGTTCCTTCTGGAGGTTTATAGAGTACGACGCGTAAACCATCGCCGGAAATGCGACATACTTCATTTATTCTTTCCTACAAAAAAAAATTATATTAGTATGAAATCTAAAACATTATGACTTACGTGTTATCTTGACACTCGTTAATAAATTTCATGGAAAATCCTACTTCTAAAAATCTGTGGGATTACTTTCATTAATCATTACAAGAGAAGCATAAACGTATTTTTCACTCAGATGTTTGAATACAAATTATTCTATTAAGCTAATCAATTGCGTATACATCTTATTCATTGATTTATTAGTAATATAATTTTCAACGCAATTTCTTACCACGCCGTTTCTCCTTTTAATAAATTCTATACACACTTCGCCAGTGTTTAAAATCGTGAGAATAGCATTTTTAGTACGATTTCTTGTGGGCTGGAGTCTCTCCGTATTGAATGGAGGCACTGACAATTTATTACTCATTTCTTCACCTTCCTTTTCATAATTATTATCATATCCTTTTCTTCGCTGCCTGTCGCTTTTTTGTTGTCCCTCTTCGTCCTGAACTTCGTTACTAATCGATTCGCTCTGCAAAAACACTCTACTTCGTGGAGGCTGCGGTATACCAGCCAAGACAGAGTTTTCATCGCGATTGCGATCATTGCAGTTAATACGATACGATGATCGTGTCTGTGCTATCGAGTCGGATAAAGGTTCACTTCTAGCACTAACAGTAGATCCGAGTATGTTGGACATAGCAGGTGTGGTTGACATTCTTTCTTCTGATCGCGATCGGATTCGTTGTCGCCCACAAGAGGACAGAGTGCGTCCTAATCCAGAATCTATCGTACCACTTCTTGATAGTTCCCTACCCAGTCCAATTCTTTCCTATAAAATCGTAATGTATCTTATTACTTTATAATCTATAATAAATTTTAAAATGCAGTACATACTTTACTAGTGCGACTCTTATCAAACAATGCAATAAATGGATGCTTGGGGATATCTTTTAAACGAATTCTATCTCGTGGATTCTTCTTGAGCAATCTATCTATAAGATCCTTTGCATTTTCAGAAAGATGAGATGGCATGACATAGTCTGCCATTACTACTCGAGTTAAGGTACTTTTAACGGCATCTGTGTCAAATGGAGGCTTGCCAATGAGCAGAGTGTACACCATACACCCTAGGCTCCATACATCTGCTTCGAGACCATGCGATGATCTTGTAGCAACCTAATGAATATGCAGAAAAATCAGAATTAAACATTATATATTTAACATGAAGTGTGCTCAATTTAAATATTAATACTGTAATTTTTAATTCAAAGTTTTTAACCATTAATAATACTTTTGTTTTAATAATAATTTACCTCTGGCGAGATGTAGTTAGGTGTGCCACACATTGTTAAATGTTTTTCATCTGGCCGTGTCAATTGTGTAGCTAGACCAAAATCAGCAATTTTCTATAATGACCAAAGTCGTTTTTTTTTTAATGAAATATGGTGTAATATATTAATTCGTTTTTGTTGTAAAATTTAGAACTAAGATATAAAGAATTTTTGGAGGAAATTCATGAACATAAGAAATTCTTAAACCAAAAGAAATCGAAAACGTTTTAACGTTGTGTCTATACATACCACCTGCATGTCTCTTGTCAAAAGTAGATTTGATAAAGACATATCTCTATGTAGTATTTGATGAGAATGTAAATATAGCAAGCCTTGTACTACTTGTTTTATTATACGACCAGCTGCAATTGAAAAAAAGGCTTAAATCATGACTAAATTATTTAAATGCTAAAACATACCCTGTTCTTCAGAGAGGGCACGAGAACCTTGGGTCTTTAAGAACCGTTGAAGTTCTCCATTGTGACAAAGTTCCAAAACCAAATAAACATAATTGGCATCTTCAAAGAATGTATATAGCTCCAATACAGCTGGATGTTTCAAACGAGAATGGATTGCAACTTCTTGTCGGACTCTGCCAACCATTCCAGCAGCTTGCATTAAGTTTTTGTCAATCTGTATATGAATTACCATACATTTTAATTATCACGTGCATTTAAATTATCATACAATATTTACAGCACCCATACTAAACAAGAAAAATTATTTACCATTTTTATAGCAACTTCCATTCCACTGCGGAGACATTTTGCTCTGTAAACACTGGCAAAACCTCCTTTCCCAAGTAAATTAAGGACTTCGTAATCCTGAAATTGTATAATGAATAATTTAATGTTAAAACTTGGTTGCGGAGAAATATTTAAAATCCTAACCTCTATCTGTTCTCCGAACCCTCCCGACAACGGCGGCATCTCCTTTCTTCTTTACTTCCGACAAATACACTTTGATCACTTTATGCGCCGCACTCTTCTTGGTTTTTACATTAAATACGTTTGAAACGCAAAATTAAGTAGTTAATAATCGGGTAAATGCAAACATGACGCGCCCGCCTTGAGGGCGACACGAATCAACACGGACATAATCCAGATGGCGCTTGGGTTCCGTTAGCTGCTGCGCTTTTTTTTTAAATGCTGAAGATCGCATCACTACATACATTTTACGGATAAATAAATATAAATTCATTTTTTTGCGTAACCTGTTTATCCAATTTTTTCTAATATTTTTCCTTGGTCACAATTTTAGTCTAAACATGTATAAATATGTACGTATCATTGCGATTTATTGAACAATTACTCCTTAAAACGTAGTTAGAACCTAATTCTATCTTTAAATGAATTTTAACATTATTATCTTTATATAAAATGCGTAATGTTTCCTTTTCTTACTTATCACAATTTAAAAACACCAAAATATTTACATCTGAGCGAATCAGAGTTGAATTATCAATTATTCGCATATCTACATGCAGATTAACTCCATTACTGCTTGTCCACATGTAGAAAATTATTACTTATTACTGTTTTCAGGAAAGGGTTCCTCGTCATGTGTACATTTTTCAAGCATCGTAGCCAACTGATGTATCTGAGTATCCAAAGGTGTTAAACTTGTTTCTGGTCGATTTACAACTTCCAACAATTCTCCAATAGGCAGCTCCAGTTTGACTTTACTGCTCCTTTCTGGTAGAGCATGTATGTTAACATCTTGCAACAAGGAAATTGCTGCTTTAAACATCACCAAACTGTAAGATTGTCCATCATGAGGAGACACAGACCATAATAAATTTTTAACATAATGTAAATCAGTCATTAGTCTTGTAGGGCGAGCCTTTACAATGACATATGCTAGTAAAGGAATTAGGTCATCACTTGAAAGAGATTTGGAACTTGATGGCTGGTAGTTCGAACAAATATTCTCACAGTTATCATCAGTTTTAGTTTTAACATCAGCCAGTGCACCTTTAACTTCCGCGACAATAAGATCTAATGTATTCCTTAAACAAAGTAGTTTCTGGAGTGGTTCTTCTCGGGCATCTAAAGTTGCTAACTCTACTATTGCAGCTGGTAAGCAAATAGCAAAAGATTCTTGAACCCCTAATTGATCGGGAGTAATCCGTAAATCCATTAACTGGTCAATCTTCTTTTTCATGTACAAATCATCCTGATCCAATGCTTCACTCAAAATGGGATATACCCTATCATGCAAATGGTGCATTATAAATATTTCAAGCGAAGTACTTAATAATTTTTGGTATCTTGCATCTCGTTGCAGATCTAAACTTTGCTTGTGCATAATGTTTGCCCAGTAATGACATGCTAATTCTTGAAACATTTTACTCATGTCTTTTGCAGTCATTGTGTGATCAATATCAAGATATTGTAAATCACTCTTGCACTCTTCAAAGAAACTTTTATCTTGCCTTAATGTTTCGATCAAAAATGTCAAAGCGCTAAAAAATAAGTATACAAAATGTGTAACAGTCTTATTAAACAAAAGTATAAAGAAAGAGAAACTTACTCTTTATATGAAGTAATGTTACAATTTAAATCAATTAAACAGTCGTGCTGGTTTTCCAAGATTTCATAAATACGATCTAGAGGTACATTAACAATAAATATGTTATATGCTAGAAATTCTTTGTTATACCCTCTCTCGATCGACAAAATCTTGACACTGTATTGTTCTTCAGATTTTAACATTTCATTATTACATTTCACCAATGTTATAACTTTATTTTCTAACTTATATAATTTAGATCTGTTTCCATCAGTAGAGGTATAATGTTGAGGCAAGTCCGCATATGGAGCTAGAATGTGATCATCTAAAAAAAAGTTGATCTTTTATGAAAAGTCATAAAATTCATTTTTTTATTTTTCAAAACATACAAGAACTTGAATTTCTCATGTGTAATAATTATAGTTAAAATCAAAATGGAAATTTACATGCCAAACAGTGATTTTCAATTAAAGTAAAAATTTAGTTAATGAAAAAATTATCATTACCAACAAAATTTTCAGTTATTTTTAATCCTCGCAGTGATGTGTCACATGGAATACATATGGTCCAACATTTCGATAAGGCCAAATCATACTTTCTTCTATATCGATCCTACAAAATAATATTGACAGTTTCCTAGTAACATATGATAGACCAAATTGGTTTTATATTTAATTTAACCAACAATTAATAACCTCAATTAATAAGTCAAAAACATTTTCATAATATAATCGTTTTCAATAAATAATTAACTGTTAGTTAAACTTGATAAAATAAACAAAATATGTAAATATAACACAAAAAACTAACCCTCAGTAGAAGATAGAACTTATTGTACATAATTTCATCAGTTTCCATAATGTCTGTGTCAATATTATTGATATTTACTTAAACATAAATTGATCGTGCTATCGCCGCTACATGTCAGATGTGTTGTTAATTAATTTAACAGGTACACAAATGCGAATAATAAATTATCTCCAATATAAAACGGGACGGAATACTACTAAATCAGGACATTTACAAAGCTACCTTACGCCGATCTGCGCCGATCTTATAACTGTCGATTGCATGGACGTAAGAATATATAGAAAGAAACTTTGACTAAAAAGTATGGACTGCTAGTTGCCAACTTCAAAGAGAATGCCAGAAAGTAAATTGGTTTGGTTTACCAAAGTTACTCCAAATGTAGCTTATTTTTTAGATATCTTGACTTAAAGAGCGGGCCCCATGGATTACGTTATCTCGATCGAAATAATTATATTTGAATTTCCCTCCTTTTTGGTTCACGACTTAAGATAAGATTTTGGCACAGCAATATGGCTATCTTCCCATTGTTCCTACGTAGTCTCCCTTTACTTACTCCGAGCGAAGTCGACGGTAGCCGAACATAGCCGAGTCGAGCCGGTTGGTCGCTTCTTGTCTGTTTTTAGAAATGTATTCCGATTGTCCTCTGTTCGCGCTTGTCTACCGGTTTTATAAATGTTCAACCGATTCGCGAATAGTTAATTAATTCATTCGTTCGACAATCTGTTCTCGCGACTAATATCAATTTGTTTAGCCAAAGTAACGCGTCGTTTGACCAAGTTCGAATAGTTTCTTCACTTTCCAACATGCGCGAATGTTTGAAGCGGTAAGATGGCGCCTTAAACGTGACTGGACGTGACAGCCGCGGCGCGGCCGGAATCACAAGGGAGGTCGTTTGAGGTTAGTTTCCCAAGTTTTGAGCAATGAACGTCGATGTATATCTTTCGTCGAACATACAATTATTCATATCATTCGATTTAACAGCGTGGTTCTTTAACCACTTTCGAAATCTTTTCTTTAACCTTTTTCCACGTGACGACAGAAAGAAATGTACAGTCAGTTATTTTTAACGGTGATTTGGTTAAATGATGCAAATTTTGTATTGCTAATTTTTTGTGATTCACGCCGGGTCAGAACAAATTTATATAAGATAAAGAATCAATGATGGACTTAAAGCTAGAATTTGTCTTGTTTCTTCATTACTGTTTAGCTGTGAGGAATTAATTATTTACCAATGCCACTCTGTTTAACCAATTGTTTTGATTGATGGCAACATTAAATTGTTCTCAAATATAAGAAGTCCAGTAACATAGGTGTTGCAATAATTAGCTAGTTATAATTAATGTTTTTTTTTTAATTGCAATTTTATTTCGAGTTAAATATTTTAAGGTAGGGATATAGGCAGAAATATTGCTTCGACATTTATTTACAATAAAATATACATTGTTTTTATTAGTATAATTGGAGGTACATTTACATATAACTTAATTCTGTCAACTATTTCTGTATATATTCTGAGAATAATAATTATATCTGGAAGGTAAGAAAAATATTCCCCTTTTTGTTTTACTTACAATATAAGTAGTGTTTCAAATTTTAGTTGTATCCCATTAATAAAGCTTTTTTTTATAAAAATATCTGTGGAATCTGCTTTTGCAGTAAGTAACATATAACTAAAGATAAACTTAATGCAAAATATTTCTGTAAGTAGGAAATGCAAGTAAATGGCATGTAACAATATACTAAATTAAATTAATTTTATAGACTTAGTTAGTTTTAAAGTAAATTCTTTCAACATATGCAGTTTATGACTATTTGGAAGTTGCATGTAAATTTGAACTCATGATAACCAATCTTACACAGATAGATCGATAAATCACAGTTTACATTGACTAGCACGGAAGACTATGGAGAATATTAGTTTTCTTTGCGTTTGGCTTCTCGTTCTTTAACATCAATTATACCAAGATTGATACATGCAACATATCCATGTAAAAGCGAGATCAAGGTCTTTATGAATGCAATAGGAGCGGATAAAAGAAGAACTGCTCGGAATAAACTAATACCGACCACTGAAACAACATAATTTGTTAGCGATCATTCCTAAATTTAAATAAAATGTAACAGAAGAATTACTTACATATGGGTCCTTCGGTAAAATGCAACAGATACAGAGCAGCGTAGAATGCTTCATTTCCAGCACACATAATGAATAAAACTTGTCGATTTGTGTAGTACACTCTCATTATTGGATTCTCTGACATATCAACAAATTTATGACTAGTTTTCCCTTGGAGAAGTGTTCTAAGACAAGAAAAGAGCTTGTATAAGTTTGTTTATAATTTACTAATCATTTTTATGCAAATGTCTTCTATTACGTGTGTAAATAGATCCAGTGACAGGCAATGTCGATTGCCATACTTAGTTGAAACCAAAATGTATATGCTGGATAAAACTGGCTTAGCGTTACCAAAAGACACATAGTGCCAACGCGATCGGTTAGTTGATCCAACATTCCTCCAAACTTGGTACTTTGATTAAAGTACCTTGCAGCATGACCATCTACTGCATCCAGTAAACCACTGATGATATAGCACCAGGAAGCAATAACATAGTTACGTGGCATAAAGTAAAATGATATCAGAGCGAGTATTATACGGCCGTACCCTGTTGAAAATTCCATTATTTGAGAATCTTTCGTACCCTAAACCAAATATGCAAATCTTTAAAAATGTACATCATATCTTAAAAATTCAAGAAATGTATGGCAAAGAAGTACTGTAGTTACAAATAAGAGTTTCTATGAAATGTTAATGTTCTTATATTCTATCAGCAGAAATCAATATAAGAAGTCTTTGAAGTGCTGTGCTTTAATATGTCAATGTATCTAAGAAGACAAGAAGTAATGCATTATTTCTTTTATGTGCAGTTAAAAAATGCAAAAAAATTAACTATTTGTAGGTTAATCGTATGTAAACTACATAATATTGTCACCCAAGAAATTCTTATTTAAGTTCTGTCATGTTATAGTTACATTCAATTGCCACGATTCTTACCGATAATGTTGGGGACGAATAGAAAGATATTTTCTGTTCCCGACATTTTGTTCAGTTAACTCGTCAGCTTTTTGCAGTAAATGTCAGGAGGGAAATTTTATTCGCGATGGGATCTGTAAGGAGGAACACTTTTTTTTTTCATGTAATTCATGACATTTTACGATTATAATCAATATTAAATTATGAGGAATTAAATTGTTTGGCGACTTACGGGAAAACCGAATCTCTTGGCTCGTCCCTCCTTTGAACTATCGTTCCTTCACTTATCGCATACAATTTCGTTCTGGTTACTGACATGGAATGAACTTTATGTGCTCATATATACAATACTCCTATATTGATAGCCGAGCTTCTGAAGCGACCCTATCACAACGGTAAGGTTACGCGATTTCTTTGCGCATGTGCGTTTATCCCCATTTCTAGTTCACGAAGACTAAGCAGGCTGTCAAGCAACGCCATTTTATTTGAACCTAAAAAGTTACTAGAGAATTACTCAATTCTATAGTGACTTAATTCTTTAGTGACTACCATGCAAATATGAAAAACAAATAATTTGTGTTTATAACAATCAAATGTTAAAATTCTTCATGTTAAAATCGATGCATGATGTAGAGCCATTGCATTAAGAAAGAATTTTGTTGTGATATTTTTTTAATTTTTGTTCCGTTATGTTCTTCGTATACAGGGAGTTTGATCATTATGTCTGATTTGAACCGAAGCCTGGTTAAAATTTATCCTGCAGATAAGTTTAAAAATAGAGTAACGATTGGTCGTTTTGGGAATTTATCAGGAAGATTAGTTTATCAAGAATTTATTCAGAGTCCAAATAGTGGAGCATTAAAGTTTATAAGTACAGAAATCTTCTGAAGCTTTCATGCGCCCGTCTAGCGCAGAAACATTATTTTAAAAACAAATAATAATTTAAATAATGTCTGCAAAGTAGGTGCAATGAATGATTTAAAATCATGTGAACATTTATTTAACATCGTACTATTTTCAGCTAAAAAGTATCTATTTTTTTGGCGTTTATTATTGCAACTATACGAATATGTAAAATCCAAATTTTTAAAGGGGATAACTCCTAGGTGCTCACGAGTCACGTGTCAAAATTTCAAACAGTTCATCCAATATCCTTAAAAAAAGTGTCTTATTCGAATCGACCGATGCGAGGGGAGTTTCACTCCACCTTAAAAGTCGAAACCAATGCGTAGTTCGGTAAAAGTTGGATCAGTCGGTCTTGGGGGCGACGCGCGCGCCTACGGTCCGGAGCGCCGGCTAACGAGAATTTCGTAGACCCTAACCGCCCGAGCGGGGCGAGCTGCCCGAACTGGTTGCGCGCAGACGGAAAAGGCGCGCACCTGCGCATAGCCGAGCGTTGCTCGTGTCGCGATCGTGCCGCACGCGTCCCGTCGGACTGCGGCAAAATACGAGAGCGTCCTGGACGTGGCGTAGTCTCTCGCGGTGAGCAGCAGCGAGGTCATCCGCGAGACGAGCGTCGTCGACACCTGGCGAGCGCCCCGTGGTGGGTCCGCGTCCACCTGTCTCGATAACCTCTCGAGTGCTCAACGGTGTTTGTTTCCTCCCTCGGGGAGTCGCTCGCTCGATCGATAACTCGGTCGGAGTGCCAGACGCCCTGAAGGTCGCGGCGCGATGTCGTCCGTCGCGTCTCCGACGACGACGACAGTGCCAGTGACAGCGACGACGACGCCGTGGATCCTCGAGGAGTCCACGCGACGTTGTCGTCCGTGAGCGACGCTCCGTTCAGCTCCGCTCAGCTCCGCTCGAGCCCGCCGCGGATGATCGGTGGATGCGTCGCGCGCTCGCGCGCGCGAGGATCCCGATCGATATCGGGGGTGCGTCGAGGCGGGGCCCGAGGCGAGGCCACGGCGAGGTGCGGAACGAAGGAGGCCGCGATGTCCCGAGCGGCATGAAGTGGGCGAGCGCCACTCGAGCGGCGGCCATCTTGAATCCGTCGATATATCGCCCACAGCTCGCGAGCGCTCGCGGCGGCCGCTCTCGCGTTGCTCGCGTGCTCACGCTTCGGTCGGAGGCGGAGCCTCGGCGAGTTCTCGACGGAGCAGTCGGCGTGGCCGAGGTTCGTCCCGTGGTGCGAGGATGAGCGCGGCCTGAACCTTCTGGAGGAAGCGCAGCGGGAGAGCCCGTCACTCGCCGCGACGTCGAGCGACGCAGAGCGACGCGCCAGCCTGGACCAAGGAGTTGGCAGACGAGGAGGCGAGAAGGTGCGAACGGTTCCGACCTCGGCCCTGGGCCAGCGTCTACCGAGAATCCAAAGGCCTTGCCTCCGAGTAATAGGGAAATCGGCGTTTAACGATTACCATTACGTAGTTCATGATATAATAGGCAAGATGGCGCCCGCGATGGACCCGTTTGCACCCCGTGCGCGAACCTAACCCGTCGAGTCGCGGATCCGAGCGATTCGCGGGAACCGTCTCTGGGTCCTTTCGCGTAACCGCGCCGTCGTCTCGAAGAAGGTCCATGTGGACACGCCAGGGCAACGGAGCGGTGATGTCGACGAGACGGCATCCAGGCTGGAAAACTTAACCCCACCGATGACGAGGTAAAAGAGAAAACGGATTAAGCAAGGAACGAGGAACCCCTGGCAACTGGTGATCGTTTTTCAGGGTTTGCTTGCCAGTTTTTAGATGAGAAATTATTCGAGATAAAGTCCATCGGTCTCCTGCTCGGTTGGCGTTGACGGTGACCAATTGCCTCGACTGTCAAGAGGGACCCTACGACTCGAAAGACTTACCGATAAGGCGGTGAGCAGTGCCTTGTTTAGTTGACAATTGTGTTCCGATGTATTGGTGCATCGATCTTATTTTGGTTTCATAAAAGCCAAAGGATAAATGGAATTGTTTGGATCTTGAAAGAACTTTGTGAGTTTAGAGGTGGGCACGATCGATCCTTTTTGTCAAAGGATCCCGGGCTGCTGTATAAACAGCCAATTTTAATGTAATTTGGGTGATATCGGTTTGAAACCGATGTCATGGAACATGGAATATTCGAGATGTTAGAGAGCGTGCATGTTTTCTGAAATTACATTCCTAGAATTACTAGTGGAAAACCAAAGGATTCGAACGATAAGAGTCCATTGGACCGTACTCGACAGTGGGTTCATGGTTGCTCCAAAGAGGAGAGGAAAGGCCCTTTGGCCATAGGCAGAACAGGAACTGACCAGGACGCAATGAGCACGGTCGACACGGCGCCGTCGATCTCCGTCGACGTGGCTGCTGGGTCGGATCATCTTGCGGAACCTGTAACCTCGAACCAGTCACCTGAAGAGCCAATGGAAATTGATGTCGATACCGAAGATCTCGAACGCCTTGCACCAGAAAGTGCTGGTACCAATACCGAGCCTGGAGGACTGCAGGCAACGCTTTCGGATCGGAGCACCTTGATTAGTGGAAGTCTTGAGAATAAACAGGTGAGCGGATCAAATGTCCAAAGATGATTTGTAACAAGGGGCACTTAATTGTTATACGGTGATATCTGTTTCATAATTAATGTTGCTCCAAGTCATAACTCTTGGGTATGAGTTTAACTCGATGTTAAGCAATGCTGTTAATGATGAAACTACCTTTTTAAAATCAATGTAGTAACTGTCGTGAGTATAGTGAGACCTCTTTATGTCAGCCCATTGAACATTTCTCCTTAGATTTATATTTAAAATGAAAACAGTTAAATATATATTAACACTTTATTTGGTTATCATTTGTGATATTTTATTAATTAACTTTCATAAGAATTTTGAGATTGCCATTAATTTCATGTATGGACAATAGTCTCTTAATATGAATTTGTAGTCAATTTTAAGAGAGTAGTTCAATGACCTATTAGATGTCCTTGAAATGCCCTTGAGAGATAGGCATTTTGTCTTGGACAGGGAGATAAATATCTTCATTTTTGTTGTTTTTATTGAAACAGCTACAACGTTATTTTTATCAAATGCTAAACATTAAAACATTTGTTACACGTGTAGAGTGAATAAGGTAACTTTATAACTAACACCAAAGATAATACTTAATTTGTAAACCTACTTCATCAATTCCAGTTCTTTGCAAGTTCATTGTTTTTGGACTTTTATAATATGATAGCTGATGATTTAATTACTATAGTGAAGAGAAAATAACGGAATCTTTGTACGTATCGTGAAAGTGAACAAAATTGTATGCAAGCAGTGTAATTGTATATCCAATTACACCTCAAAATATCATCTTTCTTATATTATTTTCTTATAAACCGGTGTTTTGTTAGTAGTTTTTGGAACAATTAGACTCCACTGAATTATAGCTCAGAAGACTCTATAGGAGTGTTTCTATCTCTATGAATGACGGAAAATTAAAGAAAAGGAAAGTGTTGCGGTGTTAAATTGAAGTTTCAAGGTGGCTTTGTGAAACTGGATATTATCCAACAAAGTTCTATTGAAAAGATCTAGAACTCTGTGATTAAGTGAAATTGTGTGGTGACTCATTACTTAACAGATATACAGGTTGTAATAAAATAAAGTGTCTAAATAAAGATATTTACAGTAAATTATCTATTAGAAGTTATTGTGTGATTTACCATACAATGTTAATACAAGTGTACACAAATAAGTTTCAACGTAACCTTCCGTCAATTAACAACATTACAACAATTAACGACAATATTAATGGCAATCTCCGAAGTTTATTTTATTCATTAACGAATAGGGGGGAGGTGTTAGAAAGATAGTAAGACCAACTCGAGCGATGTACCGCAACTCCAAGTTTTCCCCTAGTCACCAAAAGTCACTAACGTAACCATCCGTCAATTAACAACATTACAACAATTAGCGACATTATTAATGGCAATTTCCGAAGTTTATTTTATTCATAAACGAATAGGGGTGAGGTGTTAGAAAGATAGTAAGACCGACTCGAGCGATGTACCGCAACTCCGTTTTCCCCTAGTCACCAAAGAAGGACACTAACGTAACCATCTGTCAATGGGTACGGATTGGCATGTATAATTCCGACTCGTTGAATCGTCCATACATGTCCGTAGCACGTACACGTCGAGCTGTCTTACGTATGTATGAGCGGATAACCTCAAGAAGAATTCCTTACCAAGAGAATATTTCAGTCTCCGTTGCTTCATTAGTCGCTTCGTGCTCGATTACTATACGTAGTTACAATAACACGAGCGATTGTCTTTAGCGAATAATTGAAAGTACAGAGTACGATTACACGTATGAATTTTTAATTAAGTTGCGCCTTCGTTCGCGGTAATTAGTAGGGTGGTTACCGGAGATTTATTGCGAACGGCTAGTATATTCTCTGATGCATCGGATCGAGGATTACGTGTCCGTAATACGTTTCGCTCTAAGGTGACTTTTGTGTGTAGACGTAAGCTAACCGTCAGTAAAGGAACAGCTCAGACTCGGTTTCATGCTCGTTTACCACTGAATGCTCCGTTTACAGTTTCATTAATCGGTTAAGTAGGGGAATTACACGTGTATACCTGATAATCGAGTAATTGACCATTCGATTGTAAGGTATCTGGGCATTTCTGCCTAGTCGAAGAAATATTATAATTTGGAGAATAGTTTTATAAGTATTTTGACGTCTTGTATGTCTAGAATGATCCTTTCGTGTCACCTTAAAGAAGTTTCAGTTACCCGTGTACAGCGATTAATTATTTTTCACAGTGTATAGTCAATGCGATTATTCAAATGATTAGAAATATTCGAACTTGCTGACAGAATGGTGGGAGCTGAAACTTGACAAGTCGTTTTTGCGTATGACCGGGTTACTGGTCTATTTACCGAACTTATTCACGTTGACGTATTTAATTACACCCAGCCTTTCTAGCTACGGTATCGTTAGAACCAACTACGCGAAATAAAAAAAAATGTCTGGTAGCGTCCCGGTTGGCGCATTTCTTCTCGTTGAAACCGCAGGTTTGGACAACAGGCCAAAAGTATCTGGCTGTGGTTATTTCGGGGCGTTATCAGCAAATTTCGGTTATCGGGCAAAAGGGGAGTTAACGAGCATAACAAATGCTGCGGCATTTCGTCGTTGGTGCATCTGTCGAGTAGACGTTTTGAAATTATCTTTCCACTAACTGATACGAGTGACAAATTACACCGTAACAAAGTAACGACTTCGATTTGGCGGAAAAGAAAGATTGACGTTTTATTATTGCGCCGTTATTTTATTGTTAATAATTCAGGCGGTTTGGGATGACATCTTGCAGGCAACTTTTATGACTTGCAGGAAACATTATATCGGCTGTTTCGCGACAACGAGTGACTTTTTCCTCGTTATCAAGGTTACAAAGTGCTTTCACGATGTAATTTCTCGTCCGCGGTTTTGAACCGTTTTAAAGCGTCGATCAATCGTGGAGCGAGACGAGCGTTGAACAAGGAATGGTTTTCCTTCTGTGTTCGGAATCGAGTTGAGGAAGTTTTGAGCCGTTTTAAAGTGCCGAGCAATTATCGAGTTCTCTGTCGATGCGGTGCTTTAGGCAGCTCGGCCGGGGGAGAAACCTTTTTCGTGTCCGGCGGGGTGGCCTTGGTGGCGATCGTGGCGCCCTCGGTCGGGCGATCCGGAAGCTGAAATGGCCGCGTTCCCAGTGTAATGGCGGCGGCCATACCGAGAGGAGCGCGCCGCGTCCGCTCGTCGAAGTAATCTCCGAGAGGCTCCTTCCCCGACTCTTGGACACGGTTCAGCCGACTGCGGTGGACAGACCGTTACCCCAGTTAATCTGGTCGTCGATACGCGGAGTACGCGCGCGTCGTGGGCCCCCCCGTTTCCGAACGGCCTGCGTGGAGCGGAAACGCGACAAACGGCGGACGGCTGCGAACGGCCTGCCGACGACGACCCGGGTGCCCTCTAAAAATATAAATTCTGTACCGGCACTGCCCAACCGCATTTTATTGCCAGCTCGGTGTAAGTCCTTTAACGAATTCTAACCAGGCCCCTTCGGTTGGCCACTCCGGGACTTTTCTTTACACGGATTGGTGCCACCGCTGCCTGTTCCTCGAGGTTGGATTCTTTCCTCGCTGACAATTCAAGCGGTGTCTACTCGGTGAGGATTAACCCGATTTCCCTCCTAAGGGCACGTAGGATTTCTTGGGCTCCGCGTTTTAACGATTAACGGACCATTTCGGACGGTTTCAGGGCGAGCTTCTTGGCGGTGGTCGAACTGGCCCAGGTAACGATGCGTGGAAATCGGTTCGGTGGCCCAAGCGATGTACATTGCTATGTAAGATTCATGGTGGGCGCAGGTTGCGACGATAAACTCGGTTGGCCGCGAGTTCATCGGATGCTCGGTCTAAAAATAAGGCCTTTGTTTTGCCATGCCGAGTCGTCTAATGTGGAGGTGTCTCCAATGGATACAAGTTCTCGAAAAAGTCTTATCCGCTGAGTTTTTCAGCTTGGTAGATAATTATTTAAGTGTACCGTCGAAGTGGATAGATAATATACCAGCCTCGGGGAACATAATGTAGATGCCGATAGTAGTGGAATCATATTTTGCTCGCTTACTCTCCTTAATGTTAACAGATATGCACGGCGAAGTCTAAATTCTGAACAATGTATTCGCAATTGCACATTATTTGTCACCGATGACTGATTTATGTATCTAGAACACCTTAAATGGCTTTACCGTTACTAATCTGTAATGTTGTTGTTAGTTTCACTTATATGGTCAACCGCGGTCGATTATTTGCTGCTTATTCTTGTCCAAGCGTTATGAATATAACGGCAGATTTAGCAAAATCTTTGAATCCCGTTACGTCTGTATCTTGTTTTGCGCTTATTGACCACAAATGGTGTCGGTGATGCTGAAAATGATACAGTACAATTATCTCATTAAAACTCACTGAAATGAGAATATTTAGTCTGGAGTGATATTTGTAGACTATACATTGTTTCGACCATCGCTGTTATTTTACAGTCTGCATTAATTTTAATATAGATCTCATTTGAACTCGTAAAGGATGTGTACGATCAAGGTTCTTATATTTCAACGTTTTAAACACAAATAGAACCTTTTTACTAAGATAAAATTTAAAAAGTATACTATCTTAATTTATTAATAAGGTATAAATATACAGATGTAATTATCTGCATTTTCTACTTAAGTTTAGTAAGTAACGACAGTATATATGATCAGATTTTCCGAAGTTTTTATTTATTTTTGAATTTCATAAGGTTGTGCATATAGTAGATACATGCGTACTCATGTTATTTTGTACGTAATGAGAGAAAAAGATATAGAAGGTGAACTTGGTATCGCGCCAAAACTATACACAATGATGTTGCAAATTCGAAAGATATTAGAGTAGTGAACGGTATGGTGAACAAGTTATGCAGCTAGTAACATAAATTGATTGCACTGTATATTACCTGGATCTTGTATTTACAATTAATACTATAAACAGAAGCAACTGAAAGGGACGCGTAGAGTAAATGAATACACTTTTTAAAATGTGATATTTCCAAATTATTATTAATTATACATTGAAATCTTTTAAAAGGAGAATCATGCTCTGTTTTTGTTTCCATATTAGAAATGACATGGCACCTCGTAAATTGCGTGCATAGTCTACTATAATGTACCTTATGTAACAAGTTCTTTCATTCTCTAATCATTCATTCTTTAATAATATACGAGAAGCTTTTTAATGATCACTGCCCTTACTGCTTGATTCCTCCTGCTTGCAACAAGTATGGGATCATTTGATTAATCAGTCGGTACACATTAATTTCTGTTATCCTCTCATTGTGTCATCTGTCATCGCTGTCATCGTGACATCTACAATGCAAACGTCTTTGATAAAAGGATTATCCAATTAATCATATGCTTATGAATACAATTGAAAAACCATGAACTTACGCCATGATTATTTCTACTTTCAGGAGGAGCCTGCGACTCTTTCTACTTTGAACGAAGGAGAGCTGCGTGCATTGTTGGATGAAGCCTTTGCCTATAAATGTCCTAAGGATCGAGAAGGAAAGTCAAGTCTTTTCAAGGTATGAATGAATATTAGATTTCCTATTATTGCAATTGCGTGGCGGATTTATGTGACTAAAAAAGGTTTTTACCGATGTCGGGAGGGTTTCCTTTCACCTTAATCGTGGGCAATGCCTTTGGCAAAAAAGATGAGACGTTTGACTCGATTTTGCAGGAACTTCTCCAAGAAGTCGAAGCCGATGAAACCCAGGAAGGTCGTCGAACTGTAAACAACTCTCGCTGTCTTCCTGGTTCCAACCGCAGAAGGCACAAACGGGATTCGGTATCGGAGCGGCTCACTCACGGCGGTTCTTTGCAGAACCTGGCGCAACCCCTCAATTCCGAATTCGACAGCAGTTTCGCTTATCTAACCTCGGGGTCCAGTCATACGTACGGAGGTGGTAGAAGGAAAGGGAAGAAACACACAGGACCTAGTGTTTCCGCGAGACAAAGAGAAGGCGGGTCTTTGCCTTCTAATGTCGATGCCTCTCACAGTCTTGCCTCCTTGGCAAACTTAGACTTACTGTTTGACAAAAAGGTAAGATATACTTAAGCTTTGATAAGAAGGGTCTCGTGATATGCTAACGTTCGCTACATTCTACGAATTTCATAAACTGCATCGCGGGGCTGCAGAAAAATATAAGTCGATAATTTGGGCAGGAGTTACGTAGTCTTATTATATATTATAAATCTTGAACAAAGACATTAAATTATTGTGATACTTCGTGTTTCTTTGAATAATTTATCGTTCCCGTTATATTAATTTGAAATCGTGTCTTTATTGACGTACGTGTGTCTTTCTTCATTTAACCACCTGGCTCATGAATTCTTGCATAATCTATTTTATTAAGACTTGAGATAATTAAACGAACAGTTTCATTAAATTGTGCCTGCCACTGATTCATGATAATAACTTCAGAAGGGATTTTCCGAAGAAAGGTCGTCATACGACTGGACAAATAAAGAGAAATCGAGGTCCTTAGACAAGTCGTCGTACGGGGGTCCAAAGAAGGACGAGAAGGATAAAGATAAGAAAGACGCGAAAAGAGAAACTGGTGATCCTTGCGAGGCCGAAACCGAGAATCGCGAGAAGAGGGGGACCAGTAGAGGAAAACAAGGGACAAATGAGATGCTCGAGTCGGACAATCCACCACCCGAATATAAACCGGATTACACGGTGATCGATTTAAGCGATGCTGAGGTAAAGGGCTAAACAATACGGACAATTAAGGTGACGTGAAACACGGCGAGGAACTTGATCGACGTCGGTAAAAAAAGGTTTTTCCAAATACCTACGTCGCCGACGTTCGTTTTTATACTGACATAAATCGTTCACGAAAATTTTCTCCGAACTGAGTGTACCAAATCGTTTGAAACTTCATAACGTGAACATGGAGGCTATAAGGAAGGTCCTGACACTCATGAAATTACATTTTTAATGAAAAAATGTTGAGAATACCTATGAACGATACTAACGAGACCTCTTTGACGCCGCTTTCACATCGCCTTAAGCGACTCTACGTAACGATACATTGAGATATCGAGCCTCCCTCCATCCGACAGAAATGAAAACTAAACTCGTCTCTCGTTTGCGGATTACAGGTACGCAGCATCGGCGAAAACAATGTGGCAGCCATAGTAGCCGGTGCTCAGCGAATTCTCTCCAACGAGACCGGAGAGGATGAGGGAACCGAAATGAAGATAATAGATCCTCGCAGATCGATCCAAACGACGACTCGTGCCACGTTCGACGTACCGCAGACACCCGTAGACACGACCATTGAATTCCCAATCCGCGAACATAACGGGAAGCAGGGAAAACCGAAAGTCTCGGTAAACGGGCCGGAGGCAGTCGGCACCCTTCCGTTCCAGACGTCCAATAGTATAAAATGCGCGGTCGGCGGAAGTTCGAACGGTTCTAGCGCCCAGCAGGCCAAGGTCCCCCACATGTACTCCGTGATGCCCTGGTCACCGTCTAACATCGGCATGGGTGAGTTTCCTTCGTTCAACCTGTTAAGTTTCTACGGTTTGGAACGTTCGACGGTGGGCCAGTGTTCACAATGGAAAACGCGTGATGCATGTGCAGAAGTAGCCAGATTGACTGCAGCCCCGCACATTACGGGAAAGGATTCTTCCGCCTCCGGTGAGAAAAAGTCCTTGGACGAGAACGGTAACGCTGTTCAAGGCTACAACGGGGAACGAAAGAAACCACGCAGGAAACACACTCAAGAGCCTAATGTCATTGTTTACAAGGCCGAGAACGTTAAGGGTCATCGAAACGACGACATCGATAGCTTAATTAATTTCATCGAGAACAAGGAGTCAAAGGGTAAGAAGGGCAAGACCGGCAACGCCGTAAGGGTCAAGTCCAGTTCCGGAGCCAAGCCAAGGACCAGAGAGAAGGACTCCAAGAGAGAGCAATTGTCGGCGAAGCTGCAGAAGTCGAACTCTCTCGAGGAAATTTCTAAGACGAAACTGGAAGATCTCACCGCGGAGAAGAGTTCCAGTTCCAGCGGGGCCAGTAGCGTTTCCAGTCAGCAAGGTAGGTCGTATGTCGAGGATCTTTGGCACGAGTTGAGAGGATATGAAAGAGCCAGCTTATATATCGTTTCAAATTTTACAACGTGAATATGGAGGCCAACTATCTTGCCACTTGAGCATTCAAAACGGCATTCCCACCAAAAAGGGTATAGATGAATTTTACTTAATTGGCGTCGATCCAATTTCTTAGCGCCTTTCATATCCTCTTAATGGAATACGGGGATGACTTTTTGATCGGTAGCATCTCCGTATGCTTTTTTTTTTTTTCTTTCTGTAATTTCATTGTTCTTTTCAGGCACGATAAACGTTGCACTGCGTCGTGCCAAACAACGGAGCACCGGAGATGCGACGGTCGATTGTCGAGGCGACAGGAGGTCTTGGGGAACGGAAGAAGGTCAGTCCATTTATTGTAACGACACAGGTGATGATTATGCAACTCGACGAAACTCCAATAAGAAAATCAATCCAGACCCCGAACCGGAACCGGAGTTCCTCGTTGTAACGAAAAAGAAAAAGAGCAAGAAACGAAGGAGTTCCAGCGGTAGTAGAGCACAAAATTTGGCCAATTCTGGATCCTACTTGCAAAGGTCCAGAGGATTTCCTAACGAGTATAGAACGCCCCTTTCACCCGAACTTAGAAGAAAATCTGCCAGTAGTATGCCGCCAAGGTAAGGAATCGTGACATTTCTCTTATTTATAAGCCCTATTGTTACTCTGGAATACCTTTCGATCAATGTACCTACTTTTAATATATTAGTTCCTTTGTTACTCGAATATGTTCAAGTTACGCACATTCAAATTATGTACCAAAATTGTTTCTCCGTTTCAAGATTGTACATTTAATTTTTATTGTTACAGCGACAAGTCGGACAGTAGTGACTTGGATTCCGTTCATTCTCTACCAGTTACGTCGAATACAGTGAAACATAGCTTAACAAAAAATGCCACCTCTTCCGGTGGAACACCGCAGGCGAGTTATGCCGACATAACACGCATGCCAACTATCAACGTCTCTCCCAGCTCCGTTTTAAATATGGCTGCCATTGTTCCGAATGTGCTGAACGTAGAATCTTGGCCTACCGTCCCGTTCAAAGCTCCTTCGGAACCCGATAAGTTACCGCAAGATTATTATCCGAGTTTGGACGAGCTTCAGCAAAGCGATAGGAAGCTGAGACAACATAATTTTTCACATTCAAATCACGTGCCCGCTTTAAATCTCGGCTTTGAAAAACCACCGTCACCGACTTTGTCAAAAACGAAGGGTTCCCCGGAGAGTAAAACAACCGACGCGCAGGAGGAAGCCTTTAATAAGAACTTTCAAGTGTTCAAATATGTTCAGGACATTGAGAAGATGCACCGGTCGCTGTCGCAGCAGGACAAAAATACGAGTTCCAATAACTCGAGTCCAAGCTCGAGCGAGACTGCGTCGACAAACCCATCCCCACCGAAAATTAACTCTATTCCGAATTATGTATCAACCGAGTTGGATAACAATCATTCTCAAGAACCAACCTCCGGGAAAGATGCAAACTTAAACGCGAGAGGAAGCAATCCTCGTGCGCGCAGGGGCTTCCAACAGAACGTCCAAAGTCTACAAAACCAGTCACATAACGAGGAACAGCGCGACTCGAGGAAGCCCGGCAATCCACATCCGGAGGATGCCGCGAAAAAGTTACCGAGTAATCAGAGTCCTAACGATGACTCCGCTAAGAAAGCAGGAAGTCCTCGCAACGTAACGCCAGGCCCGCTCGAAGACTCGGATACGGAGAAGTCTAGGCTGCAAACTAGTTTAAAATCCTTGCCACGGGTACAGATGGATTTAGAATACACGGCAAAACCCATTAAGACTGATAGAACGTTGAAAGTGCAAAAAGAGCCTCAGCAAAACGCTTGCGCGAGGACCGAGCCTTCGAAGTCCAACTCTCCGACGCAGAATGCTAAGGTAGACCAGCAGCAGCAGGACCAACCGCAGGAGGAAGGCGATGCCAGAAGATCGGTTCAACAAAACTGTTTAAAGGTCGACAAGGAATCGGCGAAAATCGGAGAGGCGCAGATACAGGGAAGGAAGACCTCGTCGAGGCCGGCGGTCATTCTGTTGGATGACACCTCGTCGGACGTCACCAGGAACAGCGACTCGCCATGTGAATTGACATTCGGCTTTGAGATTAACGAGCAACTCCTACTTTCGGAGGAGTCCGATGAGAACCCTACCGCCGGTCCTGGGTACAAGACCAACGCTTCTCCCTTATTCGATAAACCGCCTCCCAACTACGATCGTCCGCCGCCGATGTTCGACAAGCACATAAGGTTCGACAAGGTTCCACCAAATTTCCACATGCAGCCTCCTCACGGTCAAGTTCACCATCCGGTCCACCATGGCCAGGTGATGGGCCCACCTTTGCCATACATGGGCTATCCTCAGAGGTTTCATCCTGCGCATACATACCTACCGTCGACGCCTCCTCCACCGCCTCCGCCTGGCATCGTTGATAAATATCGTCATCCGCCGAAAGAAGATTTCTGCGCCCGTTTCGTCGCGCCGGAAGAGGCCGTCAACGTGCAGAACTACAATCACGACAAAATCGTGACCTTCGTCGGGACAGGTCAGTTAGAATGCTAAGAGCAAATGTCTACTTTGAGATACTTTTCACGGCTTGTGTCCTCATTAAGGGGATGTGATAGTGGCATCCGAAATGATGATGACGATTTTAATAATACCATAAAAGTAGATATCCACTGATTTTTTAAAATTTTCCAAAACACTTGGCATACAATTTTTCCAAATAATTGATAAAATTAATGGATTGAATAAAGGTCACTTGAAAAAGTTTCTTTTTGACTACATCTCGACACAGAGAAGTCTTCGGTCTCTGAAAGTTCGTTTTTCAATGTACACTGACTTCGATAAAACGATGCGATACGAGGATCCCCTTATCACAAGGAGATCCCAATGTCAGATGACGCGACAAACGATAAAAGGAAAGTTATTTAAAACTCTTAAGAATAAGAACGTTTCCGTACTTCTTAGAGAGGTGACGACAGAAGCCGTAAATTAAAAATACCGATAATAAGGTATAGAAAGTACAACCTACTCATGATTTCTTTTCTCTTTCCACAGCATGGAACGACGTTATCAGTGAAATGCCGGTTCCGGCAACGAACGGTCGAGTGCAGTACTATAGTGGCCAGTGAAACCGAACGTTAAGGCGGACGCAAAAGTAACTCTATGAAAAGGCTTTGAAACAATCAGTAAACCTCGTGAGAAAATCCTGGGCCTCGAGGAAATAGAGGGGGAGACAGAGAGAAAGAGAGAGATAGAGAGAGAGAGAGTGCTTCATCGATTCGGCTTTCTAGCCGAATCGAATTTCCGAGCCGTTTCCCGTCTGCGGTACCTTGTGAAACGAACAAAGGCGGTTAATGTACAGTTAAAACGATCCGACGAAAGAGAAAGAAGGAGCAGGGAGGGGGGGAAGCTCAAAGCTTTGTCAGCAAAGCGTTACAACCGTAGCTTCGACTCGTCCTCTGCGAGTCGGCGACGCCAGGTGGCGCGATCAGTGCCTGAGGAAATAGCGAGATGGAAGTAAAGATACCCTGTTTTGTATATACATAGTCAGTCGCCAAAAGAGGGAACGTAATCGTTGGGAAGAAGGAAGGAAACGTGCGTCGACCCTCTCTTTCGGAGAGACGGCGAGAACGACGCGAGAGCGTCGGTCGAGTTCGCTACTAGCGCCTCCTGCCGGGTTAAAGTGTTGACTCTTGGCGCGTTCTTCTGTCCCGCTTGCCCCGAATGTTTCACCGGCGAAGGCAGGCGCAGGGAGCCAGGAACGAAGAGGAGTCCCCTCGTAGGCTTAAACCCTAAGTGTACATAGACCTCGAAAGTCGATGTAAATTTTCAGAAGCGCGTCACTTCTCGCCTGGTCTGCATTTCGGACACTGTGGCATCAACGTAGAGGGAGAAAAGGTCCTGCGACCTGGCGAGGGACCTCTCGAGTCCTCCCAGCCTTTCTTGGGCGAGGTGCGAGGCTACTAGCGTCCTCGTGGACCTCGTGAACGTCGTAAACGCCGTAAATGGGAACGTATGCTTGATCTTGGAATTTTTGAAACGAAGGGGAGAAACCGCCGGATGCGCGAGAAGTGACGTCGCGGCGAGGCTGCAGCGGCGGAAACGCAACGACGGTCTCTCGATTGCGAGACGTTTTCGGGGCGCCGCGTTTACGCGATGTCGATAGACGCTTCGCGAGGCGTGATAAGGAGAGCGGCCGGTTCGGGGAGCCATTCGAAGAGACCGCACGACGCGCGCAGTGTCGTTGGCCGGTGTTACGGCTGCGAACGTGTTTGTATAAAAAAAAGGTTAAAACTATGTATAACTGGAAGACGGAGCGGGACATTGGTGTGGATCCAAAGAGTGGGCTCTCCCTTACAACGACGGCAGCGCCGGTCGAGAGATGGTCGGACGGCGCAAAGGCGAAACGTCGGAGGCGGCTCCGAGGAATTGAGAGAAAGAGGGAACGAAAGGGAGAGAGAGAGAATGAGGGAGGGGATCTGCGCGCCAAGGTTGACGGGCCAACAGCCAAATCCTGACGTGTAAAAGAGAGAGACTGTGCGCCTGCGCCGAGGAGCGCTCAATTTTTACACGAACTCGCTTATTTAATGAACGTTAAATAAGTAACTATTAATTAGAGATAAATATTATTAAATGAAGGGAAGTGGAGATGCTTATGATCGCGTTGAAGGGGGGAGCGAGAGGGCGAGAGAAAGTGCGAGGGAGATGGAACGCGCGAAGGTGTGCATGCGTGTGGGAGAATGAGAGAAATGGAGAGATAGAATGAGAGGGAGTTCGCGTAGATAAGTCACGTTGCGCTAGTTGGACTTAAATGCCAAGGTTGCTGTTCGGACGAACGATACTATCCGGAAGGTTTCCCGAGAACCGACATTAACTTTTCGTATGTTATATCTGTACATAGAGGGAGGTCGAGGAGGGGAAGGGGGGCTAGGAAGGGAGGAAGAGGAAGAAAATCGATTTAGGACTCGATCCCGATTGTCCTTCGTTATCGCGCAGACGCCGAGGACGTTTCGATGAGTCCGGAGTCGACGCGAGTATCGAAGTCGAGGCTCGCGCTAGTCAGCATCCTCGAATAGGCGAAGGAAGACAAGAAAAGGAGGGAAAATGAAAACGCTGGAATCCGACGGAGCGCGTCGGGCTTGCCGTGATGGAAATGGCCGCGATTCACGATCTGTTCGACAGAGCTGCGAGGGTCGACCTCATCCAAAGTGGCTACTTTTTAGTGCGAAGCGATAAGGCTTGCGTAGGTTTTATATCGAGGTACGTCCAAATTTGTCGGACAGGTCGGGAAAGACGGTCGTCGTCGTCCCGAGGCAAATAATTCAGAAGTTCCATGGAAGCCCAGATCCTATGTCAGCGCTTGATGCTGAAAAAGTTGGCTAACCAGGAAAGGGGGTAAAAAAAGAGATCGTACGTGTTAGCCTCTTATCTTACATACGGGAGGAAGAAAGATGCGTACAGAAAGGCGAGTGCTGGGTGTAAGATAAAAAAATAATGCAATCCGCTATATATCGCGGCAAGATTAAGAGAGACCGAGAGGTGATTACAGCGCCGCCATCCACCGGCTAACGTACTATTTGTCAAGCACCAAACGTCCGTATCCTTCTGGGTCTCTATGGAGGCTTCTGAATTCTTTGCCCGAGGGCTCCAACGTCGAGGATGTTCGCGGAATCCGTGGGAGGCGATTCGTTCGGTAGCTCTCGTTATCCGTGCAAAACGACATCCTTCGCGCGGATTCCGCGAACGAGACGAAAGGACGACAGAGCCTCTTCGCTCTTCTGCCCGTTTCGATGCCGCGTTTCGATCCTCTCTTTCGTGATTCCGTTCTAATGGGGCCGCGAGGGACCGTTTTCAATTCGTATATGTATAGCCTGCTGGTTGGGTACTGAATTTATAGATTTCGACCTAGAAGGTGAATCTCGCCGCGACCCTGGGGGAGGAACACCGTTATGTAGTCGTTTAGCGAGTCGACGCGAGGAAGACGGCGCAGAGATATTTTTTCCCCGATAACGAAAGGAGCTGGAAAAAGGATCGCGCATCGCCGGGGCCTTTTTCTACCGCGATGGCGAGATTCTTGACGAGAGGGGACGAAGGAGGGAGTATTCCATTTAACGAGCCGAAACCAATCGCCGCGTCGTTCGCTTTTATCGTGTCTTTCGGGGGTGGAACCCTACTCCTTGGATACGTCGGTCCGAGCAGCAATCTCCCGCGCAAAGGAAAAAAGAAAAAAAAAACGTATAACTAAAAAATGGAGTAACTGAAAATCGCAAAAAACTTATCCCTAAACGTGGTTAACGCGAAGTAATAAAATTACCGTTAGACGGGTCTCGCCTGAACGCATGAGGGGAAAAAAAAGTGTACTTGTCCGTTTAGCGATAACGATATTTAACGATGATCGGTTGATTGCAGTCAATGACGCGTTTTGTTGTTTCCCTTTTTCTTTTCTTTTCTTATTTTTTTTTCCCCCCCGAAATCTCTCAAAATTACGTGCGACGAAGGAGAGCGCGCTCTTTGTTGGTTTTTTTGTTTTTTCTTTTCTACTTTCTCTTCTTCTTTTTCCCTGCTCTTCTGAAAGTACGTTCGTTAACGAAAGAGCGGTATCTGGTTCAGCTTGGAGTGCAGCCTCGAGCACATGGAAGGGATTTGGTTCAGCGTGTACCGCGTCGAGCGTCATTTGCATATCGGGCGTCGTAGCTGGAAGTCGTTGAGGTGATATGAAAGTGTCATATATACATACCAAAAAGTCAAAATATTTATAATACTTGTCTTCAAACTAGGTGCACCGAATCATTTGTAACTTCATCGCGAGATTATGGAGGCCCTAAGGAAGAACGCGATGTTCGTGGAATTTAATTTTTCGAAAATTGAAATTTTACGAGCATCGCGCTCTTCCTTAGGACCACGTGTTAAAGTTTCAGGTAATTCGGTGCATCCAGTCTGGAGAATATTTGTGTACGTATTTTGACGTTTTATATATGTATAGAATGACCCTTTCATATCGCCTTAAGTCGTCCTCCCTTTGGGGAATCGCAACTCCGGCGAATCTATTCCCGCGTTCTCCTCGACCGATTCGATAAGAGCTTCGACGGTGGCGTCCGAACTTGTCGAAGCTTAAGGTTGTGGCTATACTACAGGTATCCTCTTCTCGAGTTCATCCCGATTTTCTTTTTTTTTCCTCATACGAATAGATCGGCATGAAAAATTATGCACTATTGCGAAGTCGTTGGTCAACATTTGAAAGTCTTATATGAAACTGTCTATTTCGCGGGCGAAAGTCGATCGTGTGAACTCCAGAATCGGGTCCCAGATGGCCAGTCCAAATCCAACCGAACAGGTATATTAATTTTTTTAGACGTGGCTATATATGTCCATATCAAATTAAATCAGATAGGGCCGCATCGGATATGGTTCGTGTGTCGCCGTGCTTATAAGAAATAATTCGTTTTTGTCGGATCTGGTCTGGATTGATGGACTGTACTGTTGCCATAATCTAAAGGTGGGTCCAGGCGTACATTTTTACGGTCGCGAATGTCTGTCTGTCTGTGTGTGCGTGTGGGTGTGTAAATTTTCTCGGCCTAGGAAATTTTTATTCGTGCGTGCTATCGTTCAAACTATAATGGCTTCGACAAATGCGTCCACGTTGGGTATCGATCCGCAGGAAAACTCTTTGAAGGACCGACAAACGGCGGATCGTATTTGCGCGTGCGCGGACAAATGGAACCAACTTTCGGAGGTATTTGTATGTGTATGGTGTTCGTGGCGGACAAATGAAACCAACGTTCGAATGTATTTGTATAATGGCGGACGTGAATGCCTCCCCTGCAGATACGACATCGCCTGTGCAGGATGGGAGGGCATTGATGTCTCCCAGTGTACGCGTATGGGGTCTGTGCGCACACAAATGAAACCAACGTTCGGTTGTATTTGTACGCGGATAGTGTTTGTGATGCAGAAATGAAACCAACGTTTGGTTATATTTGTACGCGAATAGTGATTGTGTGCGCAAAAATACGGCTGGACCCGCCTTAGGATAGAATCGCACCATGCGTTTTTGCGGGACCGGCGAAAACGCACGCGGTTTTCCCGGATTGTCTTAATCGCGTCACATCGTTATAGTGATATGAAAGGGTCATTCTACTAGGTTGATGCATATATCATGACGTTTTTTTTACACGTTACGTTACGTATTAAAAGTACCATTACTAATGCATCAACCTAATATGCATATAAAACAAAAAAAATATTTATAAATCTTTTCTCCAAAGTGAGTGCACCAAATCATTTGAAACTTCAGCACGGGATTATGGAGGCCCTAAGGATGAACGCGGTGCTTATGAAATTTCATAAAAAAAAAAAATGTATTCTAGATTTTAATCCAGGATAAATAGAAATTTTTGTTATCAAAAATGAATTTTCACGAGCACCACGTTCTTTCTTAGGGCGTCCGTAATCGCATGCCGAAGTTTTGAAGTTTTGGTGCATCCAGTTTGGTGAAAAGTTTTATAAATATTATGTTTTTTATATACAGAATAACCCTTTCATGTCACCTTAAAACGTGAAGGGTCTCTCATATGTTTCCTTATTTTTTTTTTTCTTTTTTAAATTCGGAAGGAGGGCCTGGCTCTAGTGACCGTACATCGACTCCGACGAAGAGATAATCTTCCTTCCCCGTTCTCGACTCGTTACGTTTTGATGGAACAACGATTGTACCGAACCGTTGCAATGCCTCGATGAAACGGCGATTGGACCGAGCCGTTGTTGCGTTGGAGCGAAACAATGGTATTGGCGGATCGTTAACTCGGAACAATGACCGTACTCGACCATTGTAGCGCCTTTGACGAAACGGCCGTTGTACCGGATCGTTGTTACAGTTCCGTGAGAGAGTTGTCGCTTATCGATCTCGAGTTACGATTGCATCGAACCGTTTCAACTGCTCGACGGAGCGGTGGATACGGCAAGTCGTTATCCGATTTCGGTAAAACGATGGTTGCAGTTGATCGATGAAACGTCTCGATGAAACGGCAGCTACGTTCAGGCGTAACAACGCGAACCGAACCGCTGCAGCGTCTCGACGAAACGGCGGGTACGTTTCGATGGGGCATCGATCGTGCTAAATGTAACAATTCGGCGAAACGGCGGTTATGTTTCAATGGAACAACGAGCGTATCGAAACGTTGTAACGTCTCAATAAAACGGAAAACTAAGCTGGACGGTTGTTACGTTAAACCGGAGCAATGGTCACGAAGGGATCGTCGTTAATTTCCGGCGAAATAGTCCTGCCCATGACGTTGTAACGCTTCGAGGAAACGGCGATCGTGCCGATGTCACTGTCTTAACGATTCGACGCTTCTCTTTGACGAAGCAACGACCGGGCCTATTCTGTAACTCGTAACGATAGATATCATTATCGTTAAACCATTGGAATGAGACAAGTTAACCCTAACGACAGATATTCTTATCGTTAGCCCATTGGAATAACACGGGTTAGCCGTAACGATAGCTGTCGTTACGAGTTACAGAAGAGGACCCTAGGAGGTCTATTCTGTAACTCGTATCGACGTATGTCGTTATCGTTAGCTCGTCTCGTTCCAATGGACCTATGATAACGATATCTCTCGTTATGAATTCGAGAATAAACCCTCACGGGAAGTCAGTACCTACGGTTTCGGCCCAACGTATAGTATACCAGAGATGAGCGAGATGTTTTATGCCATTTGAAAGGGAGACTCGGCCCCCTGGCGCCCTCTACGCTCTTACACCACTGTAATAATTGCAACTACTTTTAAAGGAGCGAAACCTTCGTGATCGGTAAAACAGGGTATATGTGCCGCGTCGTATCTCAGTCCACGCATAGCAACTTTATTTGTACTCGTAGTCTTCTTTCCGAACCTACGTTGACCCTGATGCCAAAAACGAAAAGACGATAACTTCATTCTATCGATACCGCGCGTTTTTCTTTATCGATAGAGAGATAGAGATTTCGCCCCTTTGAAAGCGGTTCAGCAGCTAGGGTGCCGTGCCTCCCTTTCGACAATGGCGTGAAACATCTCCGATTATCATCTCTGATTATACACGCAAAAGTTTCCGGCGTTGCTCGGACGCGGCATTTCCCGGTAATACGTGTTCGATGGACGAAACGCCGGATTCGCTTTTCAACCCTCTGGAAACAGATATCGAAATAAAAAATAAGAAAAAAAAAGGGGGGGGCAGGCAGGGAGATCGATAAACGAAGGAACCTTTCTTCGTCGCAGTCACGTTTTCGGTTCCCATCGTCAGGATGGACGGATTCCTTTTCCATGTGAGGTTCCAGGAATACTCCTTTCGCGTGTTAAGGGCGTTCGTACCCTCGCTTCGTTTACTTTCCTTGGAGGGAAATGGACGGCTTTCGGCGAGAAGTTTTTAGTTATCGGTTCGTCCGCGGCGGGGAGAGCGAGCGCACCGATCGGCGTCGATCGAACGCGTAATGCCTAAGCCATCGCTTACTACTTTGTTACTAATGTCGAAATCCTAGATACAGGCGCAAAGCTTAAGGGGAGGAGGAGTACGTCCCGGGGAACACGCTGGAAAGAAAACCTAAGAGAAAAAGCGCGCTATCGGGTACACGATGTGTCCTATCTTGTCCTTGAATGTACGAAGGAAAGTAGTCTCGCGCCATTTGGCCTTTATGCTGTTCTATCTGCGATTCATACAGGCTTTGCGTACGGTACTGTGATATATCGCTGTTTAATCATTTTTGTTGCACACGTTCAAATAAAGCCACTCTCATACCGGAATACTTATTTCTGAACATAGATGGAGGAAATTACGATTGGTCTCGAAACCGCATTTTTTGTAATAATCCAGATAATATGCCATGATAATATCGTTTGTTTTATCAGGTTCTTGATCAGACTGGCGGAAAGTGAACCGTGATAAGGATGCCCAAGGTATTGAAAAGGTAACGTAATGCAAGTTTCTATGTCGAATTGCTTAACGAATGGCGTATTTTGTCCTTTGCGATTCCTTTCTTGACTTTAGAAGACCTTATTAGGGTCTTTACCGAAATAAGATACACCTAGGTTCACCGTCAACGTGTGAACTTTTACGTGGAAATCGGATAACAATATACAACTATTGGGGTATCGTTTCACTTCGTTACGCTTTTTTTTACCCCTGTTGAAATGTTTCACGTCAATGAAAACATACTTTTAAATATTGTACAATTTTAGAAAAAGTTCTTAGCTTTTGGTAAAAGGGTGGAAGATGTTGAAAACGATGACGATGTCCCAGATCTCTAATTTTCTTCAACTTCAAAGGCTGCTCGAGATTCCGTACCGAGTCAAGATCACCGTACTCTCCTTTACGAGCAAGAAAAAGAGTCGGGTCGCAATTTCTCGCAACGGGAACGCGATTATCGAATAACCGTGACCCCCTCGGATATTTTTATGCCTCTCAGACCTTTAACTGTGGATAAACTCGTTCAATGTAAACTGCAATGTTGCTAACCCACATTCTAAACAATAGCAACGCAGATTCGCGATATTAGGGAATGGAATGATATTTGTATACCCTTATGCCTGGTTCCACCAACCCCGGTTAAATCATCGGTTACCTAACCGTAGGTTAAAGTTAACATTTGTTAAAATAAAGGTAACATTGTTATAAATATGTTGATTGGTGGCTCGTTATCATTTGGGGCTACAAATAAATGTTTGAAATTTATTGGCGGGGAGAAAAATATTCAGATGATTTTAATTATTTGGACTCCGGTGCTAATTGAGCTATTAAAATATTCCTTGGTACTGCGGCTGCAAGAAGTTTATTTTCTCGCATGTTTCCTCAACAAATCAGACGGGAATGGGGCAAAAACCGTAAAAATCCCTATGTATGACTATCGTAACACTAAGTCGATTAGAATTGTATGACCGGTTTTTCGTAATATCAGGGTGATAAGTGGTTTCCGTTGTAGATGCCGAAACTCATTATAGACATTCACTGCTTTCCAAAAAACTACACACCTAAAGATCAAAAGTCCGCTTATCCTGTTAACCACATATTCTTTTTTCTCCCCGGTTTTTATAAAAGTTAACGAAAACAAAAGAAAACATCGTCAGTGTAAGAAATTCAAGAAAATGTAGTCGAAATCTTATAAGCATAAATCATTTCAAACTCGTGTCACTAATATTATAAATAATTTAAAAAAATAAATGAATATAATATCAAAACAAGGATGATTTTATATGCTGTGAAATAAAATATGTAGAAAACGTTTCGAGACAAATGATTTATCGTTGCAGTGATTTCTTTGTAAATAAGGAAGGAGAATGAGGAATTATGCGAAAGTAATATGTGGCACTTAGCAAGTATGACTGAAAGACTTTTAATGACAAAGCAAAACATTTGTGTCCTAATTTCATACACGTTTAGAGGCGGAAGAGAATAGTTTAAAATTAACAGGGAGGAATGGAGAGGAGATAAACAAAATTTGTTTTAGTTTGTAGTCGTGCGAGGTGACGTGAGTTACGTTGCCCTTCGCGTTTCTCGCTTTGCTCTTCCTTCAATTATTAACGCTCTATGAAACGTACATATTTTGTAGATTCTCAGATAGAGAAAGAAGGCTTGCTTAATGCGTAAAAGGCCTAATTATGCGACAAGTGTTAGACGAGTCAATTTGTACAAGCTCACCGACCCTCGTTTCTACAATTAATGTTTGGAATCAAGTATAAGAACCACGGTCAAACTTAACATAATATTTGTTTCGTTAATTATTATTGTTCAGGTGTTGTGTCAATGTTACTCCGATAGATGTTGGTTTTTTTTTTATATGATTACATTTAAAATTATTACCGACATTCAGAAGTTATAGAATTTTTATGTACGTGTTAATGGGACTTTTTAATGTACGGTGCAGCATTAACGCAATATATTATTATTATGCAAGATCTTCTTTCGAGAGGAGAATGCTGAATTACTATCTTTGTTTCTAACAATACGTGGAAATTGAAGCAATAGTTAAAAGCAGTAATATTGCAAAGAAGACAATTAAAAATCGATTTAAATGGCGTGGAAAAATATTTTATGTATGAATTAATTGATTTCAGAGAGATTTTTGGTAATACTCAACTCGTACCTCAATTTTCGGTGCATTGCGCCGGATTTTCGATTTCAATGTCGTCTTCTATCCTTCTACAGTGCAGCTTTTTAAATAGACGATTCATAACTGATAATGCTACGTACAATTGATAGTGAGCAATGTATATACGAGAATGGAAATAGCCCGAATCTTTCCCTTCTGGAAGAATGGCATATACGAGGATCCAAAAATGTCTATCAAGAAAGGTCGTATTTTGCCCTCGAAATTGGGTAAACATGAAACCATAGACCATGTACATTCATGTTTGCTTAGTAACGCGGAATTACGATCTGACATATTTGTGTGTTTAAAACACTTGTGACCAGCTGCGCATTAAGAGCAGTTTCTGACAAAACGTTTCTCATGTCAATTTGTAAAGACATTAACGTTCGTAACCTTGTTACACTGATGCCAGGAAATTAAAAACGTAGAAAAAGAATGTCCAGATTTTTATATTCTGAATTTCTACGCATATTTGTACATGCAAGTTTCCCCATTCAATGTATCTAGTTTCGTTCCAAACTCTTTCTTGATATGCAAAGTGCAAATAATCACACCTAATTGTCAAAGTGATGTGGGGGTTATTCTTAATATGTAATAAGTAGTATCCGTACAGGGAGTGATGGAGGGAGAAATGGAGAAAGATAGACAGAGAGAAGGACCAAGGAAGTTAACGCTATTCCGTGGGATAGAAGAAAGTCGGCCGCCACTATCAAAGGCCGTTGATAGAAATTTTTTCAATTACATCAACCGATTGTTATATTACCATCAGATTTTAGAAACATTCCGTTTATCAGCTCTATGCTAAAACGCATAATAGAAGATAATGTATATTTTTGGGGAAAGCATAAATTGACCCCTTAGGCGGCGTGCCGATTTCCAAGCCTCTGGACCATTTCGAGGCGATTAGCTGGTTGTTCACATGGGTGCCGAAACCCTGAGGATGGGTGGCAATTTCCAAATGAGCCATAGTTGTCTCGTCTATGCTAATGTTGACGCGACGCGGTTTTCGCGGCCGAGGTGGGCCCACGAGTGGGGACCGAGCGACTTCTTCGAGGTATAAAGACCCGCCGAAGAAGTTCCTCGTCGGTCAGTAGTGGCTTCCAATTGGGAACCGAAGCGGAGCTATTGTACGAATTGCCGAGTCGTAGACGAGACCTAGCATCAGAAGTAAGGAGAGACCGAGGAAACGCGTCAGGAAGCCGAAATGGAGGGATTGAAGTTCGCCACGTGGGCCTGGTTGGTTCTGGGCCTGGTCTGCGCGTTGCCCGCTAAACCTACTAGAAGGGACCAGGGGGTCGAAACCGACGACGAAGAGGAGCTCATAGGGCGCTTGTCGTACATCAAGGGAGCCCTTTACGGGGAACCGAAGAACAGCACGGGGTCCAAGGTGGACAGCTGGGACGAAGACTCCGGGATGAACCCCGAAGAACTAGGCGAGTACGCCGAGGGTGACATCCTCTTCCAGATGCAGGTCGGCGGAAGAAACGGGCTCAGAGCGGAGTCCTCCAGGTGGCCCGGGGGGGTCATCCCCTATTCGATCAGCCCCCAATTCAGTAAGAATTTTTCTCATTTCCTTTGGTAGCTTTACGGTGATACGAAAGAGTTATTCTATATACCGAACAACGTAAGTCGCCGTTGAAATAAACATGAATATGAGCCTTTAATACTTTTATTATACCACATATAATATAAAATAATTCATTTCTTTATCTTTCAAATGATATGTAGAAAAACATGCACGGGAAATGTTTCTTGAAAGATAAGGAATGAAATTATACATTTTTAGGTGGGGAGTATCGTAAGAGAATTTTGGACGCCATGGACGACTACCGCAGGTACACGTGTATCACGTTTAGGCCCTCCACGGGACAGGAGAGCAATTACATAAAGATCGTGGCAGGACAAACTGGCTGTTGGAGTTCCGTTGGCAGAGTCGGTGGTTCGCAGATCGTGAACCTCCAGATTCCTGGATGTGTAACCAGAAAAGGAACCATCATCCACGAACTCATGCACGCCGTTGGGTTCCTTCATGAACACAGCAGATACGAGCGCGACAATTACGTTCAAGTCAAATGGGAAAACATTACCCCCGGTACGTTCATGTCAACGATTACATAATATATGCGAGAGTATATTATCGTACACACGTAGATACATTATTTATGTACGATTCATGTTTCTGGTGTACACGTTCCGAAGAATGTGAGAAAATGTTGGATAAGAAACTGTATATGTAAATGCACTACAAGTACAATGAATTAGAAGTACTTAAGGTGAATTTTCTGATCCAGGAAGGGACAACAATTTCAAGAGTGCAACAAGAGATTCTACCAATGATTTTGGAGTCGAGTACGATTACGGTAGTGTAATGCATTACTCTGCGAAGGCATTCTCTCGTAATGGCCAACCAACCTTGGTTCCTAGAGTAAGTTAAATTCAGGAGTATTTATTTATTTTTAAAACACAATGCACTCATTTAAATAGCAGAATCAATCCTTTTCGTTATTTGACATTTTTGTACCGTCGATTGACCATCGAATCTTACGTCTACGAATTTGCGCTTAATTAATTTGTGGATTACAACACTTAATATCAGATTTTATCAGAAGGAATAATTACCATGAATGGTTGTTTGTATTAATCCAACCGAAGTGGTCGTTTTTATTATAGACGATAATTATGTATTGCACTAGTTAGTAAATTACACTCAACCAACATTTTATTCTTCGGAGACACAAATGCATAATTAATTATTCGCTTGAATTAAATTCGGTGAATTTTAGTCAGATGTGAATAAATTAAATATTTTACAGGGCAACGAAAATGTCTATCTAGGCCAGCGAGACGGATTCAGCCGAAAGGACATTATGAAGATTAATAGAATGTACAAGTGTAACAAGCAAGGGATCAACTATGGATAACTATGTAATACTTAATTATTCAGTCGTGCCCTGATATCTTGCCTATGTGGATAATTAGATTTTATTGAATATGTCTGAAAGGAAGAGAATCAACTAGTCGTAAATTCACGTGGAAGTTTCTACAAGTCACATCTGCTGTGAATTTTAAAAGATCATCATCACCCCGTTTATCATATTAGTAATTTTCCTTCATATACAGACTCATACGGCTTATTACTTCAGTAGACCCGAATCTTTAATTTATTATAAAAATTGCTAGACACATTTTATATGTATCAAACAGTTTAATTATGGACAGTAGATTGACATTACCTTTATCGAATCGAGTTTCATTCATATTTATTGTATATACTCTAATTTAAACAAGTACATACTTAATAAGGAAAAAATTATGACTGTACAGAAAATGCAGTGTTGATTGTGTTTCGAAAGTTAGTAAGCTTTTCTGATAAACTGCGTAATGTATGTATAATGATTTAAAGTAATTGAAAATATTTGATATTTTGTAATGAAATCTGACCCTTGTGATCGTTTTTCATTAATCTGCAATTTAAAGAGCCGACACTAGAGAAATGTACGAGGAAAAATGAGTGCTCCAAATTTGTCGCAATAGATATCGCAGAATTGTTTTGTAAAATGTAATAACTCATTACAACTTTAACGGTGACACATCGCACAGACGAAAACGTGCTTTTTCTGTACTATTCTTTAATATATATAGTACAACGTTACCTCAAGTGTTTATGGAAACGTAATTTAAGATGTAATTTTAAAGGTGAGCATTACTGCTCGTTCATTGTGAGTTTACTGGAAAATAAATGTAACGCAAGAAAGATTTATCAACATTTCTTAATTGCTCCATGTCCATGAATTTCGTATTTCATAAACTATGTAGCTAGTGAAACATTTAAGCTCGCACTTAGAACTTACTTTTAATACTAATTGTGCGCACTTAAGTAAATTAGGAATGCACTTAAAGACTACCACATTCAGTAATATCCTTTATAGCTTGAATTCCTACAACGCGTTAAAGATATTGCAACAACTTTTTTATACAACGCAATTCTCGTACAACGCGCTATGTAATAAAATACGGGAATTCCCTGATTACTTAAGTCGAGCACAGCATAGTTTGTTGTTTCCATCGCTATAATTTGCGTAATAAATTATGAATTAGAGCAAAAGCGAGAATTATATATAATGATACTACTGGAAGTGGAGAAACGTAAAAGATTCGATCGCGTAATTTCACTTTCGTATTTCCGAGTTGGACAGAATAAAATCTAGGGTGTGCTCTTCTTATATCTACTTACTTTGGTACATCTGAATATTCTTTCCAGCACGGAAGTTGGGCGACACCTTTAATATATACCAAATCGTTTAGTTGCACACGGTACAATTTCATTATCTTTATCGATTCGAGCTCCTTATATTTATTTTACGCTTATTTAAACGAGTACATATTTAACAAGTAAGTGCTAATGACTGCACGGAACATACGATATCTATTATGCCCCCAAGTTTGTAGGATTTTCTAATAAGTTACACTCCATAACGCTCATATTTCGAAGGCTTGAGATAGAGAGAAGTTTTGACGAGTTTTTCCTCGGAATGATAATGATTAATGGTGAAGGTGTTATCACAGAACTTAATCATAATGAATGTGTGTCACCTATATCCATGAAGAAATCTGTATACGGAAAAACGTTCTGGGATTGCTGTATCAAAAAGTATCCTGGACCTCCAGAGCCTTTAATAAGCCTTATCTACTACAATGTTCTTAAGAGGATAAAAATTTATTTACTTATGGACTAGAACCAACATGGCGTGGTCCGGGCACGTTTTCGATGTTTTTGCAGCTAAACGTCACAGGGAACATTTTTATCGGCATTTTTGTAAACCTGATACAATTTACCCAACTTTACCCTACTTCCCCCTTCATAGAATGATGGAAAGGTAATCGCAGATGATTATGTTCACGTCATCACTCGCGTGGAATGAGTTTCGCAATAACGTATAATTTTGGATGAATCCACAAAGATGAGAGCAATCTCCGATACCGAGACGAGAGCTGCTCATAGAAGTAACTGTCGCTGGAAGCAAATCCAGATTTCTATTTGCTCACATTGTGCAAATCTGATAACAGCCACTCGATCGATTATCTCAGTGCCAAGGATGTAACGATGAATGGGACAGAAGCGACTTCTTCGTGGTATAAAGATCCACCGAGGATGTTCTTCGTCGGTCAGTCCAATCGGGATCAATCGGCTCCAACTGAGATCTGGAGCGAATTGATTCATCCGAAGTTCGCAAGAACTCAAAATGGCGGCCCTAAGATTCTCGGCCTTCGTGGCTTGTTTGGCCCTGGCCATGTCCTGCGATTCCCCCCCGAGGATGGTCAGCGACTTGACCGACGAGGAAGCCAACGAAAACTTGATGGATCGTTTGACGTACCTAGGAGACAGGATTTACGGAGTACCGAAGAACAGCACGGGGCTGAAGGTGGACAATTGGGACGAAAATTCTGGGGTCAACCCCGAAGAACTCGGCGAATACGCCGAGGGCGATATTCTTTTCACCCCTCAAACTAGTCTTCGACACGGTCTCAGCGATCTCTCGAAAAGATGGCCGAACGCCGTGGTGCCTTACGTGATCAGCCCAAATTTTAGTAAGACCTCTTCCGTTTCTTTTACCCACATTTGAAACTCGATTGTTCCTACATCGAGAGAATAAATCACTATATATAAAATCAGAAATTCTTGTCGGATAGGTACTTTAACTTGAAGTGACGCATTTACAAAATTATGAAATAGTATCATAAAATTAAAAACTCATCTCAGAAATGTATGAAATTTACGAATTTTTTTAACGGTGTAGGTTCATCCGAAATGGTAACAAAATATTGTGACTTTTAGGCGAACAGGATCATCAACGAATTTATGATTCCATGGACGAGTTCCACAGGTTCACGTGCGTCAGATTTGTTCCTTACAATGGCAAGGGGCGAGATTACGTTCGGATAACGAATGCTAGAACAGGGTGCCATAGTGCTATCGGCAGAAGAAGTGGGTCTCAATTAGTGAACCTTCAGCCTCCAGGATGTCTTGTGCCAAGAGGGACTATCTCTCACGAACTGATGCACACTCTTGGATTTCTTCACGAGCACAGCAGATACGACCGAGATAAATATGTCGTAATCTACAAACAGAACGTAATTGACCGTAAGTTCAGAACACCATTTTGGGAGATGCTGAATACACGAAGATAAAAATATGATTGGACATAATTATATCCAAAATAGCTGGCAAATGTGAAAAACGAGAAGTAGTATTTTTTAATCACATTCTTCGCTTCTTTGTCAGGTTTATTGGTTTTTATGGTTTTATCGTTCAGAACACCATTTTGGAAGGTATTGAATACCAAATGACGCGCGATGTAAAATTCCATGGCCAATATTTATTATTTACAAAAAATTGGATCTATGTGGTCGATACCGATATTACTGAGATATACTTCCTTTTACAAGTTGATTTGAAAGCATTTGAGGATTATATCGAAGACCATTAGTAACGATACTTGCTATAAATAAATTGTAATACTTAAGAATTATTATATTGTTGTGAAAGAACTAATGAAATAACTATTTTGTTTAGGTCTTGTGGACAATTTCGACCTCGTTTCGGGAAAATATACCGATTTCTTTGGGGTTGGTTATGACTACGACAGCGTGATGCATTACTCACCGATATCATTCTCTAAAAATGGTTATGCAACCGTACTTCCTAAAGTAAGTATTGTAGATCGTTCAGTGATCTATATTTATTCAATGAAAGCCAACCTTTTAAGAGCAATGTTTCTTATCCAAATGTCCACACTAGTCTTTCGGTTGGTTCAATAAATGTTTTATTTAGACGAGATTAACTCTGGCTGCATATAAAACATAAAAAAACATTTTATAGGGTAACCGATACATCCCAATTGGCCAACGCGTTGGACTCAGCAGGAAGGATATTTTGAGGATCAACAGGATGTACAAATGCAGACCCAACAATGGATAGTTTAGCGATGCTGAATTCGACACATATGTCTTGCAAATATTTTTTTATTTTATACCACATGAAACTACGTAGACGGCTAGATCATATCGAATGCATTGTAACGAGAGAAATGTAACTAGTCAAGAAATTCACATGCATACCATTCTAAGCATTCTTGAGACGGATTCTTTATTATCATTACCTCAGTATTTATTATATTACCGCGGTGTCAAGACCTTCCTAAAAGCTCATGTTCCCATGTAAAAATTTCAAACAATTCGGTATACCTTGTTCTGTGAGAAATGTTCGTATCACCTTGAAAAAATCCATCGTTCCTACATCCGGCTATAAAATGTATTCGTGTTTATAAAAGATGTACATACAATTTCGAGTAAATATTTCTGGCCAAGTATTGAATTCGCAAGAATAGGAAGAATCCACGATACGGCACGAGGTTCGTTCAGTTATGGAAGCAACTACTTCCGGTGGCGAAATGTGTCTCTTGTTTGTTCACATTATTATAGATCTGTGCTAACATCCTGACGACCCTACTTTCGACAATGAGGAAGTAAAAAACAGGTGGGGGATAAACGACTTTTTCGAACTATAAAGACTCGTTAAAAAAGTTTCTCAAGGGTCAGTTGGTCGCTTCAGATCGGAAACGGTAGGGAAGCGATAGGAAAATTTGTGAAGCGTTAGGAGGCCAGGGAGGAAACGTATCGCGGATATTAAAGAAAAGATTGAGAAGCTGAAATGGCGGTCTTAAAATTCGCTTTGTTGGCGTGCTTGGTTTTGACAATAGCCGATGCCTTGCCTGCAAAACGGGCCGACGACGTGGTCAATAAAGAAGAGTTGCTGGCTCAGTTGGAGCATCTAGGAGGGGATTTGTCCGGAGAGCCAAAGATCAGTACGGGGTTGAAGGTAGATAATTGGACAGAATACTCTGGGGTAAATCCCGAAGAACTCGGCGAGTACTCAGGTGGCGATATCCTTTTCCCCGTGGAAGTCGAAGAACAGTCTGACGATTTAACCGACGACGACGACAACGAAGAATTGTTCGGCCACTTGGAGTATCTGGGATCAAATCTGTATGGGGAGCCAAAGAATAGCACGGGTTTGAGGGTAGACAACTGGACCGAAGAATCTGGGGTGAATCCCGAAGAACTCGGCGAATACGTCGAGGGCGACATCCTTTTTCCGATGGAAGTCAGTGCTCGAAATGGTCTCAGGGCGCTCTCTTCAAGATGGCCCGGTGGAATCGTTTACTACAAAATTAACTCGAAGTTCAGTAAGTCTTATTTTTATATTTTTATATTTAGGTGTACGAGCTGAAAGGATACAATCCTACAATGGCGGACATGAATGCCTCCCCTGCAGATACGGTATCGCCTGTGCAGGACGGGAGGGCATTGATGTCTCCCAGTATACGAGTATCTACTTTCTTCCCTAGATGCAGGGTCTTATTGCGCACGTTTTTATAACTGCTTATTCGTTCTTATTCATTCTGGCAAGATATTTCTAAAAATCAGGATATAATATGGTTCCTTGAACCTTGATATATGAAAAGGTAATGAAGAATTCACAATTTCAGCTGCACAGGAACGTCAGGCAATTTTGGCTGCCATGGCCGACTACCACATGTACACTTGTATCCAGTTTAAACCATACACAGGAGCAGAACCCGACTTTGTTAGGATTAAGAAAGGAAGATCAGGTTGCTGGAGTTCCGTTGGCAGAAAAACTGGAGGCCAAACATTAAACCTTCAGACTCCTGCGTGTATTCGGAAGAAGGGGACCATCATTCACGAACTCATGCACACCCTCGGATTCCTCCACGAACAAAGCAGATTCGACCGAGACAACTACATAACTGTTAACAAGAGCAACATTTTGAAAAGTAATTTTAGAACATGTTCCTGCAAGTTATATTTCCTTATTTATTTCTTTACTTATTCAAGATTTTCAAATTTGGCATAGAAGATTTAAAACCATTTATATCGTCTTTTAAGACTCTTACGAAGTAATTACGTTTTTCAGAACGTCTACACAATTTCAATGCTGCCACAAATCAAACCACACAAGATTTTGGAGTGAGCTATGACTACGATAGCGTGATGCATTATTCTCGGACAGCTTTTTCCAAAAATGGTCTTGCAACCCTGGTTCCGAAGGTAAGTAAACAATAGTAGTATATTTAAAATGAAACTACGAGTCTAAATGCCCATTACATTAGTCAATTATTGTTCCACAAGTTTTACACTCACACCAATCACGATTTACCCTGGTTTATTATTGACACTTATTCCTAATCTGTTTTTATTTAATACAACTATTTATTGAATTCTTTTGAGGCCATTTCTGAGACTGGATGTGACTTATGTGAATGATATTTTACAGCCAAACCCAAATATTCAAATCGGCCAGCGTATCGGATTCAGTCCAAAGGATATTTCGAAGATCAACAAAATGTATAAGTGCAACGTGCAAACGCCCTAATTTTGCAATCGTTAGGTAGATACATATCGATGTAACCTTCACAACACGTGTACGAATTGATGGTTAATATTGAATATATCTTACAGGAAAAGGTAATCATCTAGTCATGAGTTACAATCAGATAGAGCATTGGTTCTTTAATTATTTAAGGTAGCATTAAGAATGTAATTATATGTTAACACAAACTCTAGTCCAATTGACGATATTATAGCTGAGCTTCGTCAGTATTTAAATGTGCAAATTAAAGGTTAAAGAAATGCAAAAGGAAAGATAAATGGAATTATTTATTTACTGTAGATGGTATTGTAGAAGGTACTATGTTATAAACACTATTTGGACCTGTGCGACCCGTCTCATACGTTACTGTTTTAATTTAAACAAAGCTTCATAATGTATATGTACAAGAAATAACTTGTAAAGTGTATGTTAGCACATGAAAGAATAAAATAAAATAAATAATTAATAAATGAGTGTAAAAGTAGACAATAAAGTCTGATCAGAACTTACCCATTCATCCGATTTGAACTCTATCATTAAGTAGTAGAGATAAGCGCGGAATTGCAGAAAGGCGATAAGACTGAATCATTCCAGTATGAAATTTTGAATTACGCGCGGCATAACTGCATGCTAGTTTAAACCGAGTATAAGCCAGTTAAACCTCGGTTAACTCGAGTTGTGGAACCGGGCTTAAACTCCGTTCCATGTATCTACATATTTGGCGTGATACTCTACCGAGTTTCCTGATAGCGGAGAAATGTCGGTGTTATGTGGACCCGTTATAAATTTGCGCGCGAATTGGTTGCGTCTCTTTCTATAAAGTGAAAAATTTCGATACTAGCGCAGTCCCCGGTTGTAATAGGAACTAACGCTAAGCATTATAGCCCTCCCGTAAGAAGTGCCGTGCCCATGCTTTTGCTTGTGGTTTCTTACAATAATAGACTTAAGCAGGTGTAGATTGTTGTAGATTTTGTCAGAAAGAAGTTCTGACTTTGTGCATGAAGGACTAAACGTCAATTAACCTTTTACAAATTAATAAGTATCATGGATGCATTGAAATCTTTGACTGATTACGCGGCAGATCCAAGAACAGTATTTTTCTTAGCAGCAGCAATTGGATACGTTCTGTATAAAAATACTGTTAAAAAGACGAGACCACAGAACTCTGTAATTGATAAAGATTTATCGGTAATTAAATTTCTTTAAATTGTACAGTATCTAATATTTGTGTAAATGTAAGAGCACAATATTTGAGTAACTTTATGAAGATGGCACATTTATTCAATTTACTTTCATTATAGATTTATTCCGATGAGGATGCAGATTTCAAATTAGTTCTAGTTATTAGGACAGATTTAAAAATGGGTAAAGGAAAAGTAGCAGCTCAATGTGCTCATGCTGCGGTTGGGGCGTATAAACTTTCACAAAGACAGCCTAAACTTCTCGAAGCTTGGGAAAACTGTGGACAGAAAAAGATTACAGTTAAGGTAAATAAATTTGCATATTACAGAGGCAAATATTCGTGTTACATTTTCTTCTCTTAAACCTTATGTTTGATTTTGTAATACGTCAGAAAGATTTAAATATACAGTAATGTTTTACTGTACATATTTTTCCATAAAGGCAGATTTATTTTACGTTCATGTCTGTACTCGAGTACGAGTGAATATGATTATTTGCTATTCGAAAACTTTTGACTTATTTTGTTATTAATACGATGTTCAAGGTTGACAGCGAATCTGAACTATTGGAAGTAGCAAGAAATGCAAGATCAGTCGGAATTTTAACTAACGTTATACGAGATGCCGGGAGGACACAGGTTGATCCCGGCAGTAAAACAGTATGTGGTATTGGTCCTGGACCATCGGATCTCATAGATGAAGTTACCGGACATTTAAAATTATATTAATTCTGTATACAAGTATTTTTTAAATAAAACACATTTCATAGTTTGTATATATTTTGATATGATTTACTTCATATCAATTAAATATAAAAAATTGTACAATTAAATATCTATTCAGCTTTCAGATTGTAATTTAAGCAGTGCTATAAATGTACGTGTGATGCAAAATATTGTTACGCAGTGGTATTGGCTGCCATATCCTCAGATTTTTACATGTCGGTTATAAGATAATAAATTTTTACTAGTCATGATCAATGATAATAACTTCTCCACAGGGAAACTATTTTTTAGTGACAGGTGTAATTGTCTACGTATAAAAATATTTGTAGTATTTACTTTAGCACATGAGCCGCACATTGTAAATATATCTTACATGGACAATACTTATAGATAATATAGTACATAATATGCACGTTTTAGACTGTAGAAACATAGTCCCAGGTATCAATCGAGTAATCCTATAATTTTGTAATAAAACTTCCTTATTAACTGGAAACTGTAATATCTCGAAAGGTCATTTTCCGGTATTTTTGTTCTTGGTACCCGGCACTGTTTTTCTCGGTCAAAATGATTGTTTCTTAAAAATATATCATAAATAATTTATACTGGAGGTGGTGGTGCATTTCTATGTATTTTATTGGAACTGGTTGCACTGCACTGGGACTCTGCGATGGATCTTCCATCAGCTTCGTCTCTTCGACAAAGTTCTGGCTCGTTTTGTAACCAGTTTTGCGTTTGACTGTGTCCCGATCTGGAGATTTGGTTTTGCTCGTTTTCTGAAACCGTGCCGACTTCTTCGAGAAGTTTGGAAAGCGATGGAGCCAATCCAAGCCCTAGGTTCCTTTCGTGATAAACTTCGGAAATAGTAGGAGTTAGCTCGCGCGTCAAACTCGTTAATGAGGTCGCCAAATTCCTCAAATTATGCGGATGCCCTTCGGTATTCTGACTGGACTCATTTTGGGAATTAATGTCCTCGTTGGAATTAGGGTGTCGCGGTTTCCTCGGCGAATTAGGCCCTACTTCGGTTCTGACACTTAGTCTTTCGAGGACCGTGGCTGGCAACGGTGGCAGCGGTTGGCGTCTTAACACAGTAGCATGGCCATTGTCCCAATCGGTAGCAGAACTACTTGAACTCGACCCAGGTCTCGCACTTTGGTCGGGATAAAGATTTCGGATTCGTGTTTGATGATTCAAATTGAGAGCAATTGGAGGGCTGGGAGTAAAGGCTGCATCCGATTCGCCTACAAATAACGTTACATATTTATTATTCCTATATCTATTGTATTTAAGGTGATATGAAAGAGTCAGCCTATGTATATGAATGAATGATATGGCATGAATGTATGGAATCTCGGCAGGTTTATATCGATCTTTTTATCATTACTTTACCGAAATGACATATAGGACCCTTCAGTTCGTATAATTCTCAACGTAGACTGTAAAAGACTTCACATGAATATAAATGTCGGTAACGCGAGGCGCCAGGTTAAGTTACCACTTGAGTATTCAAAACGGCATTACCACCAAAAAGGGTATAAATGAATTTTACTTGATGGACATCGATTAAATTTCTTAGCATCTTTCATATCCTCTTAATTTTCAATATTTTATATATTTACCTCCTCCATTCTGGCAGGTTTGTCTCGATGATATCTGGATATTTGGCGGTTCCGTGGTCTTTCCATCAGGTTCCCCACGATGTCGCACGTAACTTGCGAATGCTCCTCCTAACCTTGGCCTTTCCGGTAAATTCTTTTCAGTTTGTGCAACGGAAGCTAGACTTTCCATTGAACTACTGGAGTCCAGGCTGAGGCTCTTTGGTGCTTCTTGAGTGTCTATAGACGAGAATGACATATTTATTAACGGCCGAGTTAAAACCGATATCCTGTACGGTTAAAATTTTTTTAATCGTTACCAAAGAGGGCAAGTAGTGCTTGAAGAGCAAATTGAACCGCTCGTCGTGAAGCTTGTTTCCCTGTTCTTAAAGTAACTTCCGACTGGCCGACTTCCATCAAATCGAATCCCAAGCTGGCAAATAGCTCGTGCGAACCCGCGGCTCTCCACACTCGAACCGGTAACGTGACTTCTTGACCTTCGGTTGTACCACTGGCTCTCCTCATTGCTGAAATTACATCCTCTGCTGCTTCCGGTGCCTAAAGTGATACGAAAGGGTTAATCTATATACATCAGAGAAGTTAAATCGCTGGGGAAAGTATTCCCCGAATTGGGTGTACCGATTGGCAATGACAAATGAAAAATGTTACAATAACGTAGTATTTTCCTTACTTGCAACAGTCTCACAAGCGCATGCAAAGAGACGGGTCCTAATCCAAGGAGAGCTTGAAGACTCGCACTGCATCTAGTTAGCCGTTCTTCGGGATCGCTTTGGGGAAAGAATACAGAAGATGGTATTCCATTTCCAGCCGGTTCAAATCTGAATCCTACGGACATGAGTAATTCCTTCCAACCAGCAGCGGCGCCTACTTTGTTTTCAATACTTCTTTGCGTTGTATACATTGCATTCTTTTGACCACGATGTATTCTTTGTAATGACTTTTCCACGAGATGAAGAGTTACACGTAGGGCATCTCTACTCTGTTCTGGACCACCTCGCAATAATTCTGCCAGAGCTTGGCCCATCAGAGCGACCTAAAATATTACATCAATTTAAAATAATACTACATGTACCCAAACTCGGACTAGAGATGCTTTTACAGTTTGAATAGTGTGCACTATAATAAATTAAAATTTCCATGCGGAACGAATTTTTTTCAAGTTATGACGTCGGATGACCGTTATACTGTTTATATAATAAATTGTAAGGTATTTACTTTGTTGGATAGCCTCGCGTCTCCTCCTAGAAGTAACCAACCAGCCCAATTAGCTGGATGGGCAAAGTGTCTCGTGTGCTGCACAGTCTGCATAGCTTCGGCCAATGCTCTAGACGCTCTCGCTCCTTGTAACATGGCACTATAAAATGCCCGCAGTAAAATGCTACCAGCGGTAGGTGGTACAGGCCACATCCCTATTAGCACGCACTGCGCACCAGCTGTTAATAGCGCTTTTGCAAGTTGTTCGACCCCATTTGACGTCACAGTAGTCGAGTCTCCGCTTGTCCAACAATGACCGCTAGAAACGACCACTAATCGAGCAGTTAGTCTCAGCCTTAAGATATCTGTACAAGTTAGCAAATATTCTGGTCTTTCAGTCGGCTCTTCGCATTGGTCCGCTGCCAGTGCTAAGCTCGCAGTGTTCCAGAGAACAGGTGTCGTTAGATGCACGCACTCAGCATCTGGTAATGATCTAATTACGGCTGACTTTGTTGCTTCAGAACCTGTGAAAATATACAGTAATTAAATATTCGTAAGAAGATATATCACGAGTCGATATCAATCAGCCTCGAAAGTGTTTCAAGCAAAGTCACACGAGAAGGTTACTAACCAATCAGTGGTCTCGCTTCAAGTAATTCCGCAACAATTCCAGTTTCCGTCTCTGCTGCTGCAACACTTTCCGGCCATCCGTATTCCTCCCTAGATTCCTCTGGAAGCGTAGGATTTCCTGCGACCAGCGCAGCCACTGTTGCTCCACCTTCGGGCATGGGAGTTCTCGATCTTTTCCTTAGAGCTCCAAGAGAAGGTACCACCAGCAACGAGAACCTTTCGCAGAGATAATCTTCACCAGGACTAGCTTGTAGAGCTGGCAAGGGAGCTAAATACAGTGATTTTTCCACAACGAGAATCAGTTCTTTCCTTGCGGGCGGTAGGAGGTCCTCGAAAGGTGCCAGAAGAAGGTCATAGAGCAGCTGGAGAGACTGAGGGGCTTGCCATGCAGGCCCTTTTACTCCTCGTCCCCAACGAGCACTTCCAGCACGTGAGCTGACAGAACCTACACTGAATAAGCTGCTCAGACTGTATGAGCTAGCATTCAAGTGATGTCCTCGGGCAGGAATCTTAGCCGACTCTTCGGCCAGATCACTGGTTTCGCCCAAAAGTGTATCGCGGGCTTGGACTACTCGCTTTTCTAAATTAATTCCATCCTCCAGGGTTGTCGAGTGGAACCTGAGAAGACCACGTCCTGGGGCCAAGCACCAAGCATGCAACTCATTTCCAGCTTCACTGTAAAGACAAAGACATTTCAATTTCATAATACAACGATTAAGGATTTAATCATATATATAATGAGAACGAAAAGTCCTATATATAGAATATAAGACAAACCTGTAATATAAGATGATCCCTCGTTGTCTATCAATGATTTCGGAGTAATGCGTCGCGTCTTCGAAGGTATTGTTCCTAGATCTTCTAGATCGCTCAGCCCAATTAAGCGCTTCTTCGGCTTTGTTTAAACTGACTAATACTTTTTGAAGCATCCGATAAGTGTCCGACAACAATTCGGATCTGCTTGGTTGGCCACACACAAGCGGCGAAGCTCCATCCAGCGATTCCAAAAGATTCGCAGCCTTTTCTAGTTGTTCTACGGCAACATTAGATTCTCCCGTTTCCCAGTGAACAAGGCCCAACCTATGCCGCAACCTCGCAGCTTCTTCTCGCCTACCTAGACCTTCGGATAACGACAAGCCTGACTGTAAGTAACTCAAAGCCCGGGATAGGTCTCCGCACAGGTGATGTAGTCGCCCGAGACTAGAGAATGCCGCGGCTCTAGCTGGTTGGTCACCAGCTGCAGCTGCAAGACTCAATGACTGTTCTTGCAGTCTAATTGCTTCGTCCAACTGACCAAGAGCTTCTTGAGTGGCACCCAGATTGGCGCAAGCTCTGGCTTGGAGTCCAGCTGCATCTAGACCTTCCGCAATTGAAAGTTCCAATTGATGATGACGTAGGGCAGAATTTGGATCATCCATCAGAAGATGTACGGCACCAAGGCCACTTGCTGCTTCCGCTTCAGCAGCCTTATCTCCAAGCCCTCTTGCAAGAGCTAATTGATGCGATAAACAGCTGACTGCCTGTTCGTGATTGCCAAGAGCAGCATGTACTCTCCCTGCAGCATAAAATGTATGAATTAAGATAATACTAATAATAATATACGCCTACATTACGCAGGGTCAACGAGTTTTTGTGTGCAATTGAAATTAAATGTCAACATTTAAATTGCACTTCTGTGTTATGAATATGAACATATGCAGCCGTCATATCAACGTAAGTTCCTCGACGTGTTTCACTTCACTTTAAAAGTCTTTTTTACGCACCTAAGTCGCCATATGCTGCTCCTCTTGCCTCTGGACTGTCAACTTCATGCGCTGCAACTAATCTTTTTTCAAAGCAAACAAGTGCTTGCTGTAAGTTTCCAGAAGCTTCTCTAGCTCTGCCGAGTCCTCTATAAGCTCTCTCTTGGTCTCGGATGCTTCTCAGTCTGGTTGCAGCTGCTAGTTGCTGTTCATGACATTTAATAGCTTCTTCTGGATCGCCTAATGCTTCATAACAGTCACCCAGGTTTCCTAATGCTCTCGCTTTGTCAAGCAATGCAGTACCAGTAGTTAAAGGTTCCAGCGTAGCTAATTGTTGTTCAAAATAACCAATAGCATCTTCATAATGAGCCATATTTAATCTTGCGATGCCCAAATTTCCTGTCGGAATTAATATAGATTTATTCACCGAAGAGTGAAATTGTACAGATTTTCGTTGAAGATTCAATAAAAAGAGGAAGGAAAGGATAATCTTGCCGGGAATTTTACGCAATTTCCTCGCCTATGATGCCATGATTTAAAATGACATCGATCTTTTTATCGTTAATATGTATGAATGTATGCCAAGGAACACATGGAAGCACTTATTTTGTGCAGTTGTTTTGGACTCATATTATATCATACCTAAAGCCTGAGCCTCCACTCCTGAATCAGCTAGTTCCCTTGCTCTTTCAAGCTGTTCCTGATAGCACTTAACAGCGTGAGTGTATTGTCCAAGAGCCATGTGCACCGCACCAAGATTTCCATGGGCGCGACATTCGCCTCTCAAGTCACCGGCTTCTTGTCGGAGAGTCAATTCTTGAGTGTGAAACCCTAAAGCCTTATCCAAATTTCTGGTTGCTCGATGTGCAATGCCCAAAGCACCATAAGCCGCAGCTTCTAAGCTACGGTCAGCAGCTTGACGTGCCAAATTCAATTGTCTTTGATGCATCTTTATAGCTTCTTCGGATTCACCTAATCGTAGAAGGCAATCGCCGATGTTGCCGAGAGCTCTAAACTTGCCAGCTAAATGGTTCGTCATGTGTGCAATTGCTGGATGCAAAAAGGAAATAAATGATACATTAAACAATTATCTAGATTTACAATAAATGTCTACGTAGTATTGCTTCACCCCATACCCTTCAACACGTTCCATTTTCAGGTCTTACCTAGATAATATTTTTGACACTCCAATGCTGTATCTAAATTGCCAAGAGCTAAGTGAGCCAGTCCCAGATTACAGTATGCTCTTCCCATTCCTGATTTATCCTGCAAATCTTTAGCCAATGCTAAGTCCTGGTCATAATATCTAACTGCCTCTCGATGATTACCTAGGCAATAGTGAGCATAACCGAGAAAATGGCATGCTTTAGCTTCACCCTCCACGTCGTGTAACTCTTGCGAGAGCATAAGATAATTCTCATAATACGGAACAGCTTCTTCGAATCTTCCTCTGGATGAAAGGCAATTAGCCAAATTGAGCAGAGCACAAGCTTCTCCAGCAGCGTCTTTTAATTCTCGAGCTATTGCTAGATGTGCTCTATAATGTCGCAATGCAGCTTCGTGACCCTGCACCGCCTGATAAGCTACCGCTAAATTTCCATGTGTGCTTGCTTCTGAACTACGATCATTCACCTAAATAGAATATAATAGAAAATAATTGATATAAACTGTCCGAAGATGGCACGTCTCATTTTTATCCGTACTAAATATAATGGAAGTTTCAAATGCCGAAGAAAACGTCAACTTACCTCTTTACTTATCGTTAATTCTTGTTTGTGATACTTAATCGCTTGCTCATAATATCCTAAGGCATTGTATGCATTTCCAATATTCCCGTAAGCTCTACCCATTCCAGCTCTATCTCCTAGAGTCCTAGCAATTCCCAAATGTGCTTGATGTAATTTGAGTGCGGCATCGTGCTCACCTAGGAGTTGGTAAACTATTCCTAAATTGCTGCAAGCTCGGCCTTCTGCGATTTTGTCTTTTGTTGTTAGAGCAACGTCTAACTGACGTTGATGCCAAAGCTTAGCTTGGGCAAGATCTCCTACAAGGAACAGTATACAAAACATCACTTTAAAATAAATAAAGCGAAGAAATTTACGCGTTGAAACATTGCCATTGAAACCGGCATTCCAAAGTTTACGATTTGATGCTAAAAGAGGAATATCGTGGATTACTGTGTTTATGCCTTACCTGCGCATCTTGCAGCATGGCCTAATCCGGCATAAGCTCTGGTTTCTATCGCTTTATCGCCTAATTCTTGAGCTATTCGCAATACATTCTCGTGGTACGCCATTGCTTGGCCAAAGTTCCTCCGGTAGTGATGCGAGGAGCCCAAATTGCTGAAAGCTCGGGCTTCTTCTACTCGATCGCCCAAACGTCTTGCTATTCTAAGATGTTGAGTATGACAGTCTACCGCGCTTTCAAACTCTCCCATTGCTAAATATACTGCACCAACGTTTCCTATTTCTCTGGCTTCCTGTAGACGATCTCCCATTTGTTTTACTAACTGTACACATTGTTTGTGCGACGCGAGGGCATTCGGTAAATCTCCGATTGCCGTGTACACATGACCTAAGCTTGTAAGAGCAGAGGCAGCTGCTTGAGTATCCTTACATTTCATAGCTAGAACAAGTTGGTATCTGTGGGCCGTTAGCGCTTCCTTGAAACTCCCTTTGCTAAAGTATGCCGAACCTAGATTTCCATGAGCTCGACACTCGCCTTGAGTGTCACCGAGAGATCGTGCTACCCCTAAAACACAGTAAACATTCAATTTTATAAACAGCACTTAATTCCAATGCAAAATACACTAGGCCACTAGATTATCGTGTATTTATTATTTTAATATTATGTCATATTTGAGAGAAAAAAGCTATTTCGTTATCATCCAATAAGTATGGCAGTTATGTAAACACACCAAAATTCATACTAGTTAAAGAGAACTTACCTAAATCTTGTTGCATATAGCTGATTGCCTTATCTAAAGAATTTAATGCCCAATATGCACTGGAAAGTGCAGAGAATACCGAACCCCTAAGTTTTAAACTACAGGAGCCAATTGTCAGGGCAGCCTCTAATACACCAGCAGCCGCTCTGTATTGGCCAGCTCCGAGAAGTTCTTGTCCAACGACTGATATGACAACGAAGGGAGATTCGTCGAGCTTCATAGCCCTTAACTGTTGAAACGTTGGTTCCAATGTTGAACGAAGAGGAGATTTTAAAGAAGCTTCCACTAATCCGGAGAGAAGTTGGAAATTTGATGGATCTCGTGCTAAGCCAGCACTGAATGCTACGAGAGCCTCTCCGTGACGTCCCAGACATTGCAGGGCTACTCCTTGACGATAGTATGCCTGGAGCACAGGAAAATTCAGTCACCAAAAATGTATTCGAATGACTAATAACACGAGAACAGAAAAAGAAATAAAGAATACTTTTGGCCATTGTGGACTCAGTTCGGTAGCTCTCACGGCATCTTGCAAGGCAAGCGCAAAGAGTCCCATCTTAAGTCGGGCAGCTGATCGATTTGAGTACAGAACATGGCTAAGAGGATCCAAAGCGAGAGCTTCTGTATAGAGAGTTGCCGCTAGAGCATAATCTCCATTCTGACATGCTGCATTACTTCTGCGTACCGTCTCCAGGAACAGTGCCCGAGATCCAGCAGCCAGCGCCGATGAACCTTCGGGCTCCACCTAGGAACGTTTAACAGCATGTCTTTGATTCTTCTTACTTAAAGAATATTTAATAAAAAAAATATATTCCTAATTCAATATAAACAATATAAATTAACGTATACAGTAATTATATTGTGAATGTATTTAGTAAAACGCAAAATAATATCCATAAATGTAATAATTAAATGTCTTTAACGCGTACACTTTTCCGGAAAACTTTCTAAATACTTTCTCCACTTGGCAAAAATGTGAAGTAGATAAACAACACGTTTGAGAGCTTTACTTGCTACGGTCACTTCGCTAGCCCGAGTACTTTGAACTAAACGTAAATATTTGTATCGTATCCGACATCCTTCCGATATTTTTAATAATTAAGACATTTAAAACTACGTACTTCTGCAATTGCTGAATGAAAACACGACTTAAATAACGGCAACATGCCCCCTCGTCGAAATAGAAAAACAAACATTAGAGTACGAAGAAGCTCGCCAAGTCCTTCTTCAACAAATAGCAGGGAATCCCTCACCTTCGAGGACTAATAATTAAGAAAGACGAAACGATCTAATTAGACTCAATCTAGTGGGAGAAAGTTTCCAAAGAAGCCCCCGGGTGCAACGAGTCGAGGAGTTCCGTGCTCCTTTCCTTTCCAGCATTACCTCCGAGATATCCCTGTGAGACATCGTTTAATACAAGCCGGTAGCATCCTTCGGCGTGGGCATCATCCGAGGCAGAGAGTAGGTCCCATCAGCGAAGAGCCGATTCGGGACCCGCGAGGCCCATCTTGGCTCATCGGCGCGGGCAGGCGCGGGCAGGCGCGAGCCTCGACCGATCCGATCCGATCCGATCGAGTTGCGGGCCCCTTTCCGCAGGTTTGGCGCGTCCGCACTACCAACAAGAACCCCGTATCCTTACCCAGGGTCCCCGCGTTTCGTCCTCATTCCTCCGAAGCGTGGAGAGGCTATCACTGGATATCGCGAAGCGGAGTTTGTTTTCGCCTGAGCGAATAAATTGAGTTGATTAAGAAAAAAAGGAGGGAGTACGGCGTCTTAGGGGGGGCACCCACCGCATTCCTCGGGCACAGCCATCTTGGAATGTGACCCCGGGTCCCCCTCTTGGGACCCGGGACCGAAGCCACAGGTGTATTCGCGCGTCGGTGTGCCCCGTGCGCCACTAACACAGGGCCGAGGCGGGGACCTAACCTGACCCACTCGTACCTGACCGTACCTATTCGAAATCGATCTCAGCTGGCTCGGGACGTACGCAGCTGCAGGGTCCCCGTTCGGTCGAGTTCCACTCCCGACTGCGCGAGCCAAAGAGTATTAAAAAACTCGGTAGAGTTTCGAGCCAAATACATTTTTGAGCGAGGAACTCACAGCATCCTGTGCTGAAAGAAACGCGCCCCGCGCGCTCGAGCTCCAGCGAGACGCTACAGAGTTCTATACGCCGAGGATCGAGATTTCAGGAGTGGGGGAAATGGGAATCTTCTCTCTCCATTTCTATAGAAAAAGAAATGAACGTTTGATCGGCTAAAAAAATCAGGAGCTTTTTAAATTTACCCAGCTCCGATCGCTAGTACCTACGTGAAGACATAACATCTTAAAGTTTTTCAGCCCTTTCTGAATCGTGGTTTTGTTGTGACTGTCGTATAGTTTTTGAGCAGCCACTGCGACACCGCCCCGCGTGGAACGACAAGGAACTATACCCATCTTAAGAATATGTATACGAAATATACTTTTTATCAAAATTATAAGTTGAACAAATAAGATATAAAGATCTGCTGAATATGCACTTTCAGCACCAAATATTTATTATCTAAACAATATTTATAATTTATGATACATATTGACTATTGGTGTTTACGATCAGCGAATATATTTTGCAGTAAAATATACAGTACTACGGTGAAGTAGAAAGTAATACATACATTCTTGCATTTCACTAAAGTACAGGTATAATGGTATAAAATATAGCAGATATCGTTTATCTGTATATAAAATTCGTTTCATGTGGAATGATTTTTGGAATGGATACTGTTTTGTAACACTTGCTTCGTCGAGCAATACCCTGTAGCTCAAGCAGCGTTATTAAAGTTAATTGTGCCAAACACTGACAAGTATATATTGCATTCACCATGTAATACTAAATTATGTGTGCAACTATGTCGCATTAAATTATATAATATTTAATATATCTAAACGATAGAAAAATATATGAAATATCTCAATAAATTGGAAGATATTTATAATTTTGATAAATTGTAAATAAATTCAACAATCAAGTTTACATCAGAGCAATAACTATAAGCTGCGATGCAATTGCTTTAGACCGTTTAAACAGTATAAAAGATAGACCCATCTATCATTCTTTCTCGAGTGTTATATTATAAATTAATTTAGAGATTTTTATGATTTGTTTCATAATTTGTACATATACTTCTTCGATGCATTTTCGATTAATAGTACTGAAAACGTTGATTAAACTTGGCACCATGGTACAACTAATCTAACACTGACAAAACAATGGAATGTTTCGCGTTTTTTATAAAGTGTCCGGTCTCGTGGAAACTGAAATTAGTAACAATAAACTGACCACGTTAAGGCCAGGCTTTGTTGAAGACTTCCATGACGCTATCATAAATCATAAATGTAATTGCAACATCGAGGCACACTCTACTTAACCTGGGGACAGTTCCTTTGTAGAAAGCGCCTGGCCCTTCCTTTGTCCATATTTTAACCACACAATCCCAACTATTCTTGTACTTCGAAGCTTCTAGGCCCTAAAATTCAATAAAAATTTAATTAACCTTTCATGGTTGTGATAACAGGCATTGTTCCGCGAGCATCAACAGTTTGAACAAATGGTCTTCAATTTCAGATTTCTTATCATCAAGAGACGCGGTAGTATCTTGGTATTATTAATTTAATAAGCAGTTTAAACAATTATCTCACCTGCATTCTAGTTTTTACAACGTCGATTGGGGTGTTGCCAAAGACTGAAGCTGCACCTGCTATTGCACCGAAAGTTCCGACCATAAGTTTAGGAACTGATTTATTATTATCGCCACCTTTGTACCAGTCTTTCGCTGTTTCCATTATGAAAAAGCGGATCGCTTGATTTGAACCCTGTTTTAATATAGTTGGAGCTAATCCTTGGTATACGCCTTTAATTCCTGTAACAAGAGATTAAAGAAACGTGTAATAGTGAGCAAGAGATCTACTCATAAAGATCACAAATGCGCTGTGCTTTTGTAAAAACGCGATGCGTAAGTGACATAAAGGGGCTAATTACGTTTATGAATTTACGCATTCACGTCTTTTACACTTTTATGCTCTGCAACATATATTCGAATGAACAAGATTGGAGGCGGACACTCGGGTATGTTTCCTTCTAACTAGTACGATAATTGTCTATTCGTGAAACTCAACGCTTTATGCTTTAGAAATATTATATTGGCATTCATTTTAGAATAAATTATGAACATGTATAAACTTTTTGATAGTACTTGAGTTAGGTTACGCTTTAGCGAAGAAGCAATTCGGTTGCTAGAAACTCATTTCATGGCAGATGCCACTTACAAGTCAAACAAGCAAATTTGAATTGGAGATTTAAAGCAATGACTGTGGCAGTATTCTCATGATTTTTTTTTTCTTTATAATTTAAATTCAATGTATGAGAGTGTTGAAAGATTGTAAAAATTGTGTAAAACTATTTTGTTTTAATGGATGATAACGATTAAGGACGTTGGAAAAATGTTCTAATCAATTATGTAACAAGCTTGACCTTGGTGGAACATTGAAGGCAATCATTATCTGTAAGAAGTTTCATAAAATGGGACAGAATAATTATTATATTCCACATGATACAATTAAAACTTATGATAATTAAAAAAAATAGTTCAACATATAAGTAAATCACAATATGAAAATTATAAAGTACTATAAAATCTGATGAAGTACATCGATATGAAAGCATGCAGTATAAATTGTAATTATTATTGGTTATTTAGGTTTTGTAAAATGCCACTTTTCTTTTTAATAATAATGAAAGCAGAATAGATGTTGGAATGAATAAACTTACCACTTTCTTTAACGATTAAGCTTACGCCATGGAAAAACCCTTTGTATCTTGGGTTGGCAGACCTCTGATCATTAATAAATTTTACTTTGATTGTCTCCATAGGAGTCACTGCTAAAATGGCTTCACAAGTTCCCGCACAAACACCAGCAAGAAATTTTCCTTGAGGACTCAACTTTCCTTCAGAGTCTACCAATCTCTTTTTTGCAGATTCAAAAGCACCAAAGCGCACTGCGGATTTAGGAATAGAACCATACAAAAGAACGGATAATCCTTTGTATAATCCAAGGATCCCACGATTCTTCACTGTCTTTGTTAAACAGTCCCATATTCCTGTGTACTTTTTATCTGCGCCACTCTTTCCATCAAGTTGTAGTTGTGTTTTTACGTATTCCGTGGGATAAGTGATCATAATCTCAATACCTCCAGTTATACCACCTGTAAAATGTCTCGATATTATTATAACATGTAAGTAGCCTTAATTATAATACCTTGATATCTTGCTAATTGAAAAAAAAAGTATCTTTTTGCACATTTGTGGATACTCGGCAGGTATTTAGCATATGTTCAATGAACATTTTCGTTTGTATCGACATTTGTCTTAAACTGTTCATTCTTACTTCAAAACGATCATATAACGATCAATAATATAATATCATTTTAGAACATTTCCGAATTCCCTAGACTTATATATTAAATTAACTCTACGAATATGTTCCATGCATCAGCCAAATACTTACCATGACAAGGGATTATGACACCGATCAAGATAACCAATCATTTCAAAAGCGGATCAAGTCAAATTCTCTTTCAGGGTTTTTAATAGAAGTAACGTTACCTTTGGTATAAGCCTAAACCATTATTTCTATTCCGTGCACTAAATTTCTTCAACGACGTAGCACGATGAGTATATCACTCCATATTGAAGATGAAATTTGAGACCTGCATACCATACTTCGAATCGTCAATGCACAATTTTTAAATCACTCGATATCCATTCAAAGAATTTACCTCAAACGTTACGGTATCGACAATGCATCAACGAACACGTTACATGATTCTAAAAGAATTCTGAAATACGAATTATTATTCCCACTAGTACAAGTGGAATTCCATAATCATTATCAGACAATTGTGTGATCAAAAGGCATCGCGAACGCCGAAACATCTATACTCGGACCATGTCCAAAGGTGAGTAAATACCGCGATAAAAATGGAAGAAATGAGAGAAGGCGAATGAAAGGAAGGAAGGAGGAAACTGGGTATAAGTGGTAAGTTAAAAAGAAACGACCTACCGGCAATAATGCCCTTGAGGCCGATGTTGCCGGCTGCCGGGGCAGCCGCGCCTCGATCTCGGAGCCATGGCCTTTGCGGAAAAGGATTGATTGGATTGACGCGACGTTCGGGCTTGTCAGGTCGCGCTAACTGGTGCCACAGCCAGACCGGATCCATGCTCGCTCGGTGGCTGAAACTGCCCGAACTGAGGCCGAGTCGAGTCAAGACAGTCGCATAACTCCCTGTCCCCTACCTCGCCGGCGTTTATCAACTTCTCTTGTTAACGACGCCCATTTCAATGTGGAGAGCCCCCGCGGGTCAAGGAATTCACGCCACACTCCTCCTCAGGGATCGCACGCATATTTACGCGCCTGTCGCGATCGGACGTTCGAGTTAACCCCACCAAACGGTTCTCGGAGTCCCGCGAATCGGCAAGACTCGCGGATTTCGCGAGTGTCGCCGTGACGCGTGTTCAGACTTAGGTGAGTATGAGGTAAAACTTAAGAATATGGGGCTCATCTAAAATGAAGTAAAAATCAATTCCCTTTGTTCTTAAATGAGATAAAAACAAGTATGATACCTCATGTGATATACATGATTTTCTATGCGTATATTACAACATATACGTTCCTAGTTTCAAAGTTTTTTAACATGTTTACACATGCGCTAAAAGATGTTTATAATCTAGCGGATGCCATATATCGCACATCTACGGCATTCTTCATATTGGAAACGTCAAAAACCTCGAAAAACGTGAAATTACCTAACCATGCACGTGTTCACGCCGTGAATTTCACGGTGTGTTCCGTGTTCGATGAATCGGAAGAGGTTGTCTCTTTAAAAACGGCATGCAGTTCCTTGAAGAAAGTCATAAATTTTCCCCTCATGGAAGAATTTTTTGTACATTTGGGAGTAATTATACTTCCCCTAAGTATTTTATGTAAAAAAAACTTCGAATGTCGCGTCACTATCCAATTCTGTACCTGACCTCGTGAAATTATGAATGTACCTTTCCCAACTCGAGTGGTCCTTGATATCTTGGAAGATCACGCGTTTGAGTTTGACCACGTGCGCGATTCGTGACAGATGGCTCACGAAATGGAGATATTTCTCCAACTTTTTTTTAAATTGTGGTATAAGCCCACTACAGCTCTAGCGATTATTGATGTTTAATTAATATTTTCTTGTTGCTGAGCTTTCTCTATTTAACGAAATATTTAATTTTTCTTCGATGCTGATTTTATAGAATGTATGATAATCAGTTAATCAGGAGGTCGAAAATTAGAAATGTTGTGAAAATAAACATGTAATACACGTTTAAAAACATTTTAATTTATCTTATTTCGTATAGGAATAGAATTTAATTATCCATTAACTAAAGAGGTTATGCGTATTAAAAGGGACATTACTCAGCTTAGTGTTAAATATTACTGTAGCAAAATTAATCAAACTTTGTTGAATTCACGTTTACTGGATATTTATTGATGATTCTTTTTTTATTCTATATGTTTATAGTTTCAAAAGTTATCGGCCTTCTAATATATATGATGATGATAAAACACCTTAAGAGTGTTCAAATGTTTCCCTATACGATAATTCCCTAGATATTGTGCAACATGTAGTTGTGACCGGAAAAAAATATTTTTAATCGATACACATGCGTTATCTTTTGCTGCAGTATTTACAATCTAATGATGAAAATATACCAATTAAAAAATATTTTAAGCTTTTATGTTATAGTTTACGTTACTATATCATTATGTAAAATAAGAATTAATAATGAATTGTGTAATTACAGAGAATGTTAAATAAATTTGTAATGTGATCTGTAATTTGGTAAAAGCTTATCATATTTTATTCTACGTGTTTTCAGTACTGTCCTGTTGCTGCAACACTGTATATAATTATCTATTTGTTTCACTTAAAAGTTACTGGTTCAGATCAGAACAGAAAAGTAAATATTTAACCAGTGCGAATGATGCAAGTACAAAGTACTGGTGTTCGTCTGTGATACTGCAGGTCATGACAAATTGAATTCCTTACCACCCTGGTGTTGTGTTTGCCAGTCGTCGCATTCGGCTGCAATAGAAATTTAGGCAATTAGAATGACCAGAAACACGTTAATGATGAGTTATGAATATTTTTTCAAATCTGAAACATATTAGACATGTATTACTGATCATACCGTGTGTTTCTGTCTTGGTCGCGAATTTTTTTCTCCATTTCTGCATCCGTTAAGGTCTCCAAGAATGGAGCCCATTGATCAGCTTCAGATGGAGGCCTAAATGGAACTTCAACCGTGGGTAATGGAGCTTCCGAAAATGCATATGTCCTCTGATGCCAAGATAATTGACCTCGTACACTAAAAACAATATATTAGATTATGAAGTGGAAAAAACTGGTATAGCAAATGCATATTTTTAATAACATGAGCAATTTTAGATTCACCTGTAAGCAATTGCTGTAACAAATTCCCCTCCAAGACCTAATTCAGCACATAATTTCATTGCAAATTTTTCTGGATTATTTTCTTTCTCAGACATATCCCATTCAACTTGGTCCACTAATGAAGTATTTCCAACGTGTATATTAAGTTTAATTATAACTCTTTGATCGCATTGATCCTCCAGAATAGTCTCCTGAGGAAAGGCATCTATTTGTTGTCTTATAGCCTGTGCAATTGCAGGAACAAACGTTAAAGGATTTAGATCTAGGTCATCACATAATACTTCTGCAAACTGCTCTGGGGTTATAAGACTCTCTGAAAAAAAAAAGATTGAAAATATAAAGTGGTTAGCCAAGATATTTTACTAAGAAAAATAGTACACTTAATAACTTTTGTGCGTGGTTAGAGGTTATACGAAGGCCACTTAGGTATTTGCTTTAACCCTTTGCAGTCGTACGTCTGCTTTCAGCCATCGAAGTCATTTTAATCTGAGGTAAATAAAACCGCAAAGGGTTAAAGAAGAGGTACGATAAAAGTATTATAGATACATTATAAGAGGTTAAAAACGGAATGTACCATTTTTATTCCACGTGAATGTGTCTCTTAATTTTTGTCCTTCAATTTCCATGTCAAGACGAATTGGGACAAGCATTTCCTGTTGTGCAGCATTTTCCAAGTTTGCAGAAGGATCGGTGTCGTCAAAGCTGTAAAATCTCAATGTTATAAGTCTGTTGTATACTTCATTACATTGTAGAATTGGAAAATTGATCTTTAGTAAACTCTTACCACAAGGGAAAAGTTCTAACTTTCTTATTATGAACTCTATTACGATTAATAGGTGTTGCTTGAGGAACTGCATCTAAATGTGAACTATTTGGTAAACTTGGCACCCATGCCATGGATTTCTTAGATTTACCCTCTCTGGGTGCTGGAGGTTCTGTCGAATGTACTGATACAGCTTTATATTTGTCATCGTTTCCTTCAATAATATCTTCTACTTCGCTTGCTCTTAAAAGAGACACACTCGAGGCAAGTACATGTTGACTCAGACCGAGTTCAACGAGCTTTTTACGCTCATCATTAGTAATTGATCTTCTATACATGCCAGGATATCTTTTGTATAGAGATCCTCGAAATAGTCGTAAGTAATTGCCCACTTCAGAGCCAATGCAGTAATACTCTCCATTTTCACCAACTTGGAAACTTATTGGCTTATCTCCGTAAGTTCGTAGTGCCATATTTTCTAAAACAAAAGGCTTAAAATTGAAAATGTTTGTATTCTTTTATTCACACGATGATGCAGCTATTAAAAAACAATCATTTTCTTATTCAAGTTAATATTTATATATTCATTATGGAACAAAGATTTGCCTTTTCACGAATGCTTTCAATAATGTGATCTATTGTTCAGTAATTGATACAAGAAAACAAATAATTGTGTGACGGTTTTACGATAACCGTGTAGATCTTAAAATATCGACTTACTACAGTTTTAAGTAACTCTGAATAAAAGGAACGTTGGCCGGCTTGTAGTTTCGTGTTTTCGGTTGACGCACAATTCTAACCTTACTTTTCACCTGTCAACAGTGCAATACCAACACTTTGTAAAGTCTCGAAGCGATCGTTTTGACAAAACACCTCTGAAATATATAGCAAACTGGAACGCTCGCCACGCTTAAGAATACACGGTAAACTTGTCCAAGAGATGGATTTGGATGTATCTGCATCCTTGTCGTACGAAATTCAGTAAGCATGTGTCCGAGAAAGATGAAATGATAGATGGCTCTCCTTTACAGTTCCACTTCCAGATTAACCAATGCGTGCGCACCGTTTGTATGTATGCACAAGCCACATACTAACTGCACCGGCATGGTTAGTATGTGTTCCGGTTATTTCGGTAAGAAGGATTTCCATTTTATCTACGCGCTACCTTCTAGTTACCTCTTTTCGATCACCAGAGGTCAGTATCTCGGATAGATCAAAATTTTAAAATGGCGTCAGCAATGGACATCGACGATGAGGAAATTGATTTGCCCACGTCTAGCAGCAGTAAAGGAGAGAAGAAACGTTTTGAAGTCAAAAAGGTTAGTTAAGACATTTTTAAGAAGTATCGTAAAGTATAATTATCATTTCTTTTTGCTAATTAAGGGTGGCATACCATTCTAACCTCGTTAGTGCTTTGTCATTTCTCGTGATCGTTATAAGCCGAATAGCATTCTCATTGTGAACGTAAACGATACATTATTTTTAACTGAAAACATCTTTTTCAGTGGAATGCCGTAGCGCTGTGGGCATGGGGTAAGTAATCCATAAGTTTTTACAGCTTTTATTTCTATCTCCAATTGTGCCTTACAAATAAATTATTTTGTTTTCTTTTCTAGTTATAACAAGGGGGTTTATACAATTTACATTCAGAGGATATTTTTAATGGAAACTATACTTGGCTTTGAAATATATAAATATCATTTGGATTTGAAATATACTATAAATTGTGATTTTCAGATATTGTGGTGGACAACTGCGCCATTTGTCGTAACCATATAATGGATTTGTGTATCGAATGCCAAGCAAATCAAGCATCTGCGACTAGTGAAGAATGCACAGTAGCCTGGGGTGTATGCAACGTACGTGTTCAAACGAGCAGTATTTTATGTTTGCCATTGTAAATATCCACCAGGACTCACATTTAGAATCACGGTTTATTTCTATTAAAGTAGAGTGCATTTAGTTTACAAATGTAATCTGTTAATGATGCAACTTTACTTTCGTTGCACAGCATGCATTCCATTTCCATTGCATCTCCCGTTGGTTGAAGACTCGACAAGTTTGCCCACTCGACAATCGTGAATGGGAATTCCAGAAGTAAGTATTCATTGAACAAGTACAATTTTGGCTTCTTAGCTTCGAGGGGAAATTGTGGTGAACTAATAATATTTAGCGTTACGATTACTATTATCAAACGTTAGCGGGCATCGCACACTGGCACTTTCATATATTTTCCAATTTTCGTATTAATTGCATTTACAGAAATGCTTGTTTATTTGATAATTCATATGTTTGCTTTACCTCTAGGTATGGACACTAGCCAAGTGTGCTCAGCTGCCATGGACATCAGAGCCCTTAACAATTCAGCAGCCGACGTCTGTATGAAACCGTGATATTCGAAAGATACTAAATTTTGGTAGAGGATTTAATTTCTTGTGCATAGCTAAATATTGTCGATCAAGGTCCTTCGCTTCAGAAGCATTTTAATGGAAGTCTAAAAAATGCTTAAACGTGATTGAAATTTGATCAATTCCATGTTTCACACGTTGTTGCTACACATTATCATTATGTGCTACACTTGATATTAAGTCGCAAGTGAGCACAACTGTGTTATCGATAATAGGTATAAGACTGGTATTAAACCATCAATATCAAGCCATTGTATCTGAAATCATTTTTAAAAATGTCATGAACTTAAATAAACGAAAAAATCAAAATCCTATAGTATTGGTAAAGGATTTACAAAATGTGAATATGGTTACAAATTGTGAAATCTAGACTTGTCATTTTATTCTATAATTGTTCTGATTTAACAGTTTTCTAATAAAATACATTTCAAGCTACCTTGTTAGTCAAAATCAATCTGAAAGAGAAACGAACATGTAAAACAAACTAAAACACCTGACCGCCTATTGGTTGTAATTCTAGGTTACATATGTAAACAAGAAATGAAAAATGTATATACGTACTAAGAAATAGTTTATAATAAAACCATTAAATTATTAGTCGATACCCTTGACACTAAGTAGCTACTTTCTCCCTTACGGTTTAGACTTTTTACTTTTATATCATGGGTAGTAGTTACATGATGATATGATGTAGTTATTTTAACGTTTAACAGCAAAAATACAGATACAAACTTGTAGAAAATATATTTACACTTGTGATAACTTCGTCCGTAGGACCTTGATGAATTTTGAAAATGTACAGTTAAAATCATTAAGAAATCAATTAACACAATTAAATTTCCAGCATGTTATGCACAAGTTACAAAATGACCATCGAGATTTTCCTAGTAATTTCAAACAGGTGATTTTATGTTAGGAAACCTGCAAGTACAGATAAGTTACCCTTAAAATGGATAAAACGTTTCCACATTTAAACCTACTACCTTGAAATAACTTCTATATTCATGGTGAGAATTTCTGAAGGCAGTAATAGTCATGTATACGTAATTCTTTAAAATTCTTTATATAGTATATATTAAAAAGTATGCATGTACGTATTATAAAGAATTACATAAATATATACGCATGCATATTCATGTTGATCAACTCAGGAAATCACGCAGAGGGGCTAATCCTTTCTCTGATATTCTCGAAAGGTATGGATATAAAATAAATTTGGTGATCAATGGGTGACTACACGATAAATGAAAAACTTGAAGCTGCCGCATTTGCTATCAGAAGTCAATTCCAAGGATCTGAAGGATTTACTATAGAATTCACGGCGAATAGGCGGATCGATTTTTGGTGTCGGAAGGAGGTTCGTGGATTCGCAATCGAAAATGAATTCGGGGTCGCAGCTGCTTCACCGCGAATGCGCCGGTACCTCTTTCCGTTTCTAGCATTTTTTTTTTTTATTCCAGCCCGGATGATCCGATTATCCGGCCTTACAGGGGCTTCGCGAGGTAAAAGTTTCGTCCGTCCTTGCACCACGTGGGACCGCGTGGTTCTTTTCCCCGTTGCCGTCTACTTCGGGGTTGGTTAACTCTTACGGTACGGCCTGACAGTGATTCTCGGTTATGCTCTTCTCCCTTTCCTCCATTACGACCTCCCCTTAGGTTTCCCGCGCGTAACATTCCACGCGTAATAAATAAACGCCGATTCTCACCGACTCCTTGCCAACTCGGGGGAGAGAATCCTTTTTTTCCCAGGACGATACTGTCCCTTGATAACGTACGCTACGGAGACTTGTTAGGTTTGCGCTACGTACGATACAATGTTTCGTCCTCTGACCTGGGTATATCGCGACTATTACATTCTTCCAGGACATGCGAATACCTGGTAATAAATAAGTTTAGTAAATTGCCTCGATAAAAAATAATCTTCGTTTTCAAAATGCATTTTTTTTTAAATATAATGATTACATAAGATCCCTTCTTCGATTCCGGCGTGCAGGGATAATAATCAGTTCTGATGATCTATTGATAACTATACACGAGTTTGATTATAGGATTGATTTGTAATAGGTAAATTAGTAGTTACTGAGGCGATTTGCTTTGTCCTGCTTCATTAAAATGAACGATTAATGAACATGGTTGATGAAATTGAATAGAAAATATGAAGTTGAAGCTCCATAGAAGCCTAGAAAGATACGGACGTTCGATGCTCGATAAATAGTACGTTAGCCAACGGATGGCGGCGCTGTAATCATCTCTCCATCTCTCTTAATCTTATGGCGACATATAGCGAAGTGCATTCTTTCTTCATCTTACCCACAATGCTCGCCTTTCTATATGCGTCTCTCTTCCTCCCGTATGTGAGATACCGTTGGCTAACATGCGATCTCTCTTTTACCCCCACTTCTGGCTTGTTAGCCAACTTTTGGAGCATCAGGCGCTAATATCCGATCTGGGCTTCCATGGGACTTTTGAATTCTTTGGCGCCAATTAGCGCAGCGCAGAGCGGGAAATTTTGGGAACCCGGACAATGAAAGAGCGTCTAGAGCCAATTAACAATCAGCACGTAAGATTCCGGCGGGGCCCGCCCGGAATCCTTTATCTAGCCGGACCCAAGGAGCTCCTAGTTCGCCTCGGACCGTTGGACCCGACGCATCGAGTGAACCGTTTCAAGAATTTTCTGGATTCCCTAAAGTTTTGTTAAAATCGCGAGTGCCTGAATGCCGCCGTCGCAGCCCCGGAACTCCACCTCGGACAAGAAGGAAGCAGCAGAGAACCCCGTGAACTGCGGCGAACACCCTTCGGTAAAGTAAGTGCCCTTTTCCTGAATTCGGGGAGTCCATTTTGAATTCCTGATTAGTCAACTCGTTGGATTTTCCCTTTCGGGAGCGACTTCACCCTCATTTTCAGTCGCGGGTGAAATTACGTTTGAGTTCCATTTCGAGTCGTTGCGTCGCGCGGTCCGTTATTCCTCCATTACGTGTTACAAACTTTATGTAACGGCTGTGTTATTGTCGCATAACCGTATTTTGCTTGTTCCTCTTCATAAGGTTCTTTTCCGAGGGTCCTGTTATTCTCTTTTTCATAAGGTTCTTTCTAAAATCCAAGATATGCAAGTGTCAGGATAATTCCAAAGTGCTCACGAGTCATATATAAAAATGACAGACGGTTCGATGCAATATCCTTAGAAAAAGAAAATAAAAAACCTGTCTTATTCGTATCGACTGATTTGAGGGCGGGGTTTCCCTGCACCTTAAATCGAGGTTAAACGTCGCCTCGGATTCGCGCCAGTCGACGCGCATGCGCGGCGCCGTCCTCCCAATGTCCTCACCTCGGCGTTTACCTGAGCGCGGGAGATGGAATATAAATACGATTTTGAGCCTCCCCCGGTGCGGTGGCGCGAGGGGCGGCGGGGAGGAGAGCCGGTAGTCGCGAGGGGCCTCATTTCCGCCGGAAACAGAACACCCCGTCGCCCTCGCGCGCCGCGACCTCGCCCCTTCCCTTTTGGCGGGAAAGGCCAATCGAATTAAATACATTCCTGAGGCTCGTCCAATCGGCGACGGCCTCGCGGCTTCTGTCTCGTCCTCGTCTCCCCCTGCCCTTTCCCCCAACCCCTTGAGCGATCCGGCGGTTCCTCCTCCTCCTCCTCCTCCTGCCTTCGAAACGCCGTCGACGCTGGAAAACGCTGATTTCATTTCGTTATCCGAGTTTTAATCGCGACAGACCGTGTTTCGCGAGGCGGCCCGACTACTCGACCTGTTTACTCGTAAACCGGAGAATCGGAGAAACCGAGAGGATCCCCGAGACACCCGCGAACGCAGGTCTTCTGCCTTTGCTTTATTGGTTCTAGAAAAATGTCTAAGGGAAATTGATTCCCGGTTTTTTCGTGGCTAGAATTGCGGTCGAGTGGATTTTAAGCTTTCTTGGGAGAAAAAATAGCGAATAAATTGGATTAAGTTTGGGTTCACGACACTTTGTTAATGTAGGTCCCACCAAACACACTATGTTACTGTTACATAACACTGGAATAACATGATATATAGCGAATGTTATTCTAAAGGTACATTAATGTCATATAACGTCGAATTATTGCCGCTCGGTAATACTTTTACAAATATGTAAGCATTGCAATTATATATGTATGTTACGTTACATGGTACACACGTCATGTAAGGGTTATATTATTATCACGTAACCGTGTTTGGTGGGACTTTTATTTCAAGCTGGACAGAGATGCAGGATTCCTATATTTATTTGGCAAAACCATCCGCGAGATATCTGCAGATCTATTCCGTCGTGTGATTGAAAAAGAAAAATCTTTCGCCGTTCCCGTTCTCGCGGCCCATCTATTATCGGATAAATCAGCGAAGCGTTTGAGGTTCTGTGTTTGGCGGATATATCAAGGTTTCTTCGGCTCCTTTTTTTGTCCTTGTTCAATATCATCCGACAGACTTGGGGTGGTTCGGGGTTGCGGGGCAACAGCGCCACCTTCGGGGATCCGTTTACACGCACACGGGAGAGATTTGTGCTTTCGCGTTGACGACACCGACGGTGGCGCCCCCTCGTATCGGTCGCGAGGACCGCCTCGGTAAATCCTCGTTAGATCCGCGAGAAAAACAAAGCCCATTTTAGTCGCCCCGAAGGGATGGCCCACCCTTTCGAAGACCCGACGTTTTCCTAGCTTATCCTCCGTTTTATTTTTATTCCGTATCGCTTTGCTGCACACTTTATGGAACAAGAAAGGCGTTTATTTTTAAACATCGGCAACGCGCACCGAAAGTATCGCTTAACGCTATTTCTACCACGATTTTGTGTATACCTATTTCGACCAAAAGGTTTTCATGAGCTGGAGGAAAATGATACCGCTAAATAAATTCCTGCACGGGCTTTAAGGATTGTTTCTCCCCAAGTGCAGCCATTACCTAAACTATGTTTAAAAAATTGATTTCAAAAATCCACATTTTTTAAGTGTCAGGATAATTCCTAGCTGCTCGCGAGTCACGTGTCAATGTTTTAGACAGGACTATGCAAACCCTTTAAAAAAAGTGTTTTATGCGCATCGACTGATTTGAGGGGCGGGTTTCACTCCACCTTAACGAGTCCGTTTCGGCGATCCGCATTTCCAGTCTAAGAGCCGAATCTTGGGGGAGGAATCGCTCTTTCTTCTGCTCCCTCGTTACTCTTTCGCCTAGTGGAGTCGAGGAGGCCAGACCAGGAGTTCTCTGGCGACGATCTAGGGAGCGTACATCGGCCAACGAGGAAAAGAGCACTCGATGGGCTAAGTAAATCAGAGGCCGTTGGTTCCTGTCCAGACTGACGGCCCGCAGGAGCAGCCTGGAGCAACAAAGGGTTGCTAAGAGCACTCCACTGGCCCGCCGCTAGACCACTCGCTCTTCGTCCTCCGAAAGCAACCCCTTGCTCCGAGGGCGGCACACCCCGCCACGTGATTGCCACCCAAATGTATTTACCGTAAACTGTATCAAACTGTCGGTGCACGACGCCCGTGGGGCGTCGATGGAACTCGACGCCTTCTTTACTCGGCTATCTTGCCGTTTGGGCATGCGAGGTTCATCCGGGCTTTCGAAATCTGAAAGGCCTTCCCACATTTAAGATGACACGAAAGGCGCAGGGAAATTTAATCGACGTCGAGGAAATTAAACTCATCTGTACCCTTTTTGGTGGTAATGCCGTTTTGGATACTCCATCGGGAACATAAGGCGCGTCACGTTGCCTACATTTATATTTACGTTGAAATCTTTTACAGTCTATGTTGATAATTATATGAATTGAAGCGTTCCACATGTCATTTCGGTTAATTAATGATATAGAGATCGATTTAAAACGGTCGAAATCCCGTGAATTCATTATTCTGATGACTGTTTATGGCCAACCTCGCCATCTGTGACGTTTAGGTGGAACTAAATTTTTCCTCTAAAAACACGCGTTAGTCACTTAGTTGGTGAAAGTATTTTCCATATTTTCTCATATGACTCCGTAATGTTCTATTTCTACGGTATCCTAAATTGTTCGAGCTAGGTCCTGAAACTCTTCATTTTCGATTCCAAGCCTCCAAGGAGCGTAAAACATCGAAAATTACACCGATGCTCGAGTTACGGTCGTCCTAGTGTTTACTGTCC